GGACAGATAGGTATCAAGTGTAATAGGAAACACACCAATGCCGGGGCCCCCCAGCCACCATGGAGCTTAAACAGTTACCTACGATTTGGAATTATACTTTAAATCTCCACATCGTTGTGCATTCTGGATCCATTTCTCAGGACGCAGCCAGCAATTCTGAGTTATCTAGACCAGGCTGAAAATTAGAGGCCATTAATAGCATCTCATAAAATGGCTTCTCAGGTTTTCTTAAGGAGAATATGCTGAGGACCAGGGGGATTCAATGACAGGAAGGAGCAAAACGCTGCTAGTTATTTTTCCACAGCTTAATCTAGAGATCTTTTTGAAGAGCTCCTTACCCAGCAATGCAGTGAATGCCAAGACCAATACAGACTATGTTTCTCCTACTTGGAAGTGGTGACCAGATACACCATCTATGAAGAAAAGTTTCTCGGGGTTCCCAGGGGTAAGCCTCTCAGCCACTTTTCAGAGCCATCCAACCCATCACTTTGCTGCATCCTTGTCCCCAGACTTCCCGGGCATCCTGGACGGAAAACGGAAGGCCATTTGGCTGGCCAAGCTTCCATTTAAGGCACCTTCCTTTTCTTATACTCCTTTGCAAACTTTTGAGGTTGTATGACCAAGGACTCTCTTCTTTTGTTTTCTAAAAACGAAACACAACAACAAGACCCTGAAAGCATTTTCCAAGTGCTTCCCTGTTCTTCTTGGGTCCCAGAACCTCTAACTGGGGCTATAACTCTTCCACCTTGAGCAGCAGCCACTCTGGGGGCCCACTTCTTGGCCCCAGCAGGCAGGGGGCAGGTCCTCGTGGACTTGTCAGAGCAGAGAGAGACCCAGGAGGTCGACTAGAGAAGCCTCCGCTCTCAGTTCAACCAGGAAGGAAAAACCAACAAGCTGGCACTAATTAAGAGCTAATGGCCTTACAGTGGAGTGTTGCCAGAGGATAACGACCCTCCAGCTGCAGCATAAATATCAAGGCATTTGGGGCAGAGCCAAGACATATATTTTCAGAGTGCGTTAGACACTGCTGCAGCCGTCCTCGGCCTGGCTCTGCTGAGGAAACGAGAGGAGTTCGGATCGGTGGGACAGGAGCCGGGTCTTCTTAGGGCTGCCTTCTGGTCCCAAAAGCCTCAGGGAGACTTTTAGGAAAGACTGCTTTTCAGATTTCACACTTTTGTGTATATAAGAAGCATGTGAGGCACTCCTTCAAATGTATGTTCTCTGGACCCCACTTTCAGAGGGTCTGATTTCGGGAGCTCTGGGGTGAAGCCCAGGAGTCTACATTTTTAACCAGTTCTCCCCAGTGATTCTGGTGCCGCTGGTCCCCAGACCTCACTTTGAGAAATGCTACTTCTGAAGCTGCTGCTCCTTTCCCACTAGATCCCAATAAAAAAGTTTTTACAGCATGATGAAGCAGGTGAGGTCAAGATCCTCTGCTTCTTGAGGAAACACCAGCCTCCGTTCTTTCCTATCAGAACGTGGCAGGAGGCTGTTCCAGACACGTCTCTGTTGAGGTCTTCCCATTCACACCGGCCTGTGGTTCCTGGGAGGAGAAGTCCAGGGAATGAGGTGCTAACCACGAGTCTGGAGGAAAGGAGAAGGCAGCCCATCTGTACCATGTCTACAGTGCTTTCATGGACTCTAATTCCTACACCACACAGCTATCTTTCAGGGTGGTTAATGTGTCTGTTTTAAAGCAGTTGTAGGTGTGTCTTGCCTCCTCTGGTTACCACCGCATCAGAAAGGGGAGTGAAAAGATAGTGTATCTCAACTGCTGTAAGCGGGGCAGGCAAACCAAACCAATAACGTTAGCTCAGCCCACCTTGCTCAAGCTTTACTTTGGCTGGTAGAAATGAGGCTGGTTGTCAGGATCAGCAAAAACTGTTGTAAAAGGATTGATGGATCAGGTTATAAAAATAGATGGAAAGTTTATATGATAAACGCAGCTGAGTATGAGAACAGGAGAGAAACAACCCACCATATCATCTGGGAAAATGAAACTCCTTGGCAAGACTTCACAACAGCTTGATTCAAAATTTCATAATGAAATTATGTCTCTGATCAAAGTCTGAATGAGCTCATGGGCTGATTTTTGCCATTCGTGTTTATTCTGGTCTGAACCAAACTGAGGCATCAGAAACCCATTATCCTGGTCTTTGCTCCGGGAGTGGGCTATTGCTCCTTCGTTTGGGGGGACCACAGAGACAGTGCGAGGCAGAGGGGGGTGTCTTTGGATCCTCACCAGGCGTGAAGTTGTTTCTGCTCAGCTCTCAAAGACTCCCGGGGACCCCAGGTCAGGGTCAGGCCTTTGTAGCTAAATTGTGTTTAATGTCCTGATACTTGCCCTGGGGGCAGCGAAAGTGAGTCTTGAGGGAGAGAAGGTATTTCCCGCTCTTGCTTAGGACATGGCCTTCTTTTTTGTTCTAGAAAGAATGTTTTTGAGTTTGTTTGTTTCAAACTCAGAGAAATAAAGACTCAATCATTCCTTCCACAATTACAGTACCTCTCTTTGTATTAAATTGTTTGTTTTTACGGATTGAGCTTCATCACCAGCTGGAATCCACCTTCCTCCTGCCTAACCACCTCTTCTCTGGCCTATCCTGAAATCACAGTGCTGGGCACTTCCTAGCAACTTGAAATACAAAAAAAAAAAAAAAAAAAAGCGGGAGGGATTTTTGGTTGAAACACAGACCTAGAGACTTCATATTGATTAGTAGAAACAGAGATGGCTGGGTCTTACCCCCTCAAGGTGAAAGACACCCCCTTCTCTTATTTACTGTGTCCCCTTAAAGTTCGAAGGTTGAAGTTTCTAATCCCCATTGTGGCATTACTTGGGTGAGGGATTTACGGAGGTAATTAGATTTAGATGAGGTCAGAATGGGATTCGTTCCCTTATAAGGAGAGGAAGAGACTAGAGCCTTCCCTGTCTCTCCCACCTGTGAGGACACAGTGAGAAGGTGGCTGTCTGCAAGCCCGGAAGAGAGTTCCCACCTGGAACCCAACCGCACGGGCACCCTGATTTGGGCTTTCTAGACTCCGGAACTGTGAAAAGTAAATGTCTGTTGTTTCAGTCCCCCAGTCTGTGATGTCTTCTTACAGCAGGATAAGCTCAAACACTATTCGTTCCTTCATTCAGTGAATAGTTCTGGAGTCCTTACTAAGTTTCAAGTGCTGTTCCAAATCTTGGAGATACCACAGTGAAGAAACTTAGAAGGTCCCTGCTCTCAGGAAACTTACATTCTAGTTTTGGGGAAGCAGCAGATAAACTTGCAAGAAACATAATTTCAGCTACTAATAAATACCATGAAATAAATACAACAGAATACTGTAACAGAGTAACTGCAGAAGGGTGGGAGGTGGTTGATTTAGAAAGATTAGTGTTAAGAAAATTTAACCAAGTGCATTTGAGGTTCTAATTTACTTCTTAAGTTATGAATCGGGCAGTATTCCATCTAGCCCCTGGAGGGGTACTCTAAGGATTTGTACAAAATGGAAGGTGGGTTTTTTTTTTTTTATCTTTGCCTGATATGTTTACTGATTTTAGGGAAAGAGGAAGGGAGAGGGAGAGAGAGAGGAACATCGATGAGTGGTCTCCCATGCCTCCCATATGCGCCCCGACCCCTAGGCATCAAATCAAACCGGCAACCTAGGTATGCGCCTTGACGGAGGGAGCGGGCTGTGCAGGCTGTGGAACCTGCAACCTTGTTGTGTACAGGATGATGCTCCAACAAACCGAGTAACCTGGCCAGGGCCAAAATAGAAGGCATTTATAGGCAGAAAGAGAATGGAACTAGGAAATTAAAAGAGTGAATTATTTCGGGCCAGAGTCCAGTTATGCAGATTATGTCACTATTGTTGATCAAGAAATTCCAGACCGATCGATTTAAAATCCCACTCCTGCCCTGGCTGGTGTAGCTGCTCAGTGGATTGAGCGTGGGCCTGCGAACTGCACGATCGAGGTTCGATTCCCAGTCAGGGCACATGCCTGGGTTGCAAGGCCAGTTCCCGGCAGGGGACTCATGAGAGGCAACCATACATTGATATTTCTCTCCTTCTCTCCTTCCCTTCCTCTCTAAAGATAAATAAATAAAATATTTTAAAAAATAAAATAAAATCCCACTCCTGAGAGAGGCTGAAACTATAGTTAGGTTAGTTATTAAGTTTTGGTTTGGTGATGTAGCTTAGCAAAAGTGATTCCATTTTGGCCTGTTTTGTTTTTTTTAAACAACAGAAAGACCTCTCCCAGCAGGAAGGACTGCCAGATAAATTACAGGATGCCTAGGTAAATTTGAATTTAAGAAAATGAATTTCTTTTAGTATAAGTATGTCCAAAATATTGCAAGGAGAATACTTATCCTAAAAATTATTCATTGTTTATCTGAAATTCACATTTTTATTTGCCAAATCCTGCAACCCTACTGGCAGTAGGCGGCATTTGAGCTGAGAACTGAATGACCAGGAGAGGTTCAGGAAGAGGGAACGTCCCGAGTACATGTCAGAATAACCAGAGGGAGGGAGATACTGATGAAGTCTGAAAACAGGCCGAGGCCAGATCACGCAGAATTCTGTAGGGATGATAAGGAGTTTGAAGTCCTGTCTCTTTCTCTTATCTAGGCCATTGGAGTTTTGAGAGGAGGGTGACAAAACCTGATTGGTATCTGGCTTCTGTGCGGTCAATCTCTTTTAGAAGGACTTAAAGAACAAATTCAGATAATTAAACTTGAACTTATGCCATTGACCTGGGACGAGGCTTCTTTGTTTCGGGGTGGACCCTACTAGCAGCTCCGAGTCCTTCATAGGGTAGCTAGGCGGTTGCTACGGAGGGGCAGCTTGGCGGTTGCTAGGGAGAGAGAGGGGCGTGGCTTTGGTGCCTGGCCTGGTCTCAGAGCCCTGGGTGGGGGTGGAGCTAGAAGTGCGGCGGCGCGCTCCGCGCGCTCGCAGGAAGTCGCGCGTGGGGGCGGGGGGGAAGGGACGCGAGCGGAAGTGACGTGCCCATTCCACACGTGGTCCAGCGTAGTTCACGCGGGTCACTTCGGCAGGGTTTGGGGAGTTACGAGCTCGTTTGCCCGCAGTAGGCCGAAACTAGCACTGGTCCTCGACCCGTCGGCAAGATGGTGAAGCCCAAGTTCAAAGGACGGAGCACCATCAACCCGTCTAAGGCCAGCACAAACCCGGGTTAGTCCCGGCGACGGGGCGCGCGGAGGGTGGAGCTTGGAAGATGCTTGCGGGGAGGGCTCCGAGGAGACAGAGGGGCGGGGGCATACCATGGTGGCGTTGCTTGGAGTAACTTCGAGCAGAGTGGCCACTGGGGAATGAGAAGGTGGTTTTTACTTTCGGAGGCACTGTGGAGAGCTGACATCTTGCACGCCTGTCAGGGCTGTGTGTCAGGCCCCAGGCCTAAAGTCAGGAAAGTGAACGCTCAGGCCTGGCAGCCGTGGGGCAACTCCAGTTGTCAGATGAAGAGACCGGAAAGCTCTCATTTGGAAGGGGCAGTTAAACTTGACCTCTTTTGGTGTACTAACGTGGATCGGGTGTTGAAGCCCCTCCCCCAATACATTTCAGTTTTAAAGGATTCCACCTTTCCAGCTTAAGGAATTTCCGGAAGTAAATTAGATAAAGTCAGACTAAAAGTAGTGTAGGCCAACCCGGCCGGCCTTGTACACTTGACCACATTTGCCTGCCACCTATTCTTTGACCACTGAAATGAGAAAGGGGTTGTAGATTTGGCTCTTAGCCTCATCCCATGAAGTAAAGCTCTGAGAAAACCCTATAGATGAATACATGAGGATGTTTTGGGAGGTACATTTGAGTTTGGAGGAGGTTCTACCTATAGGATGAACAAGATAGACTCCAGGGGAGCCCCTTTCATTCAGATGTAGTTAATAAGACTTTGTTTCTATATATCATTTAAAGTTTTTGATGACCTTGATTCACATTGAGTGTTTCCTCTGGATTGCTGATAAATTATTCAGTTTGTGTATCATGGAATCTTAGAATGCCAGACCCAGAAAGGCCCTTAGAGACCAAGACGTTATAGGTGACACTAAGCCAAACCAGGAGAAGTGGCTTGTTACACTCAATGAGCAGTAGGGGGCCAGTCCTGTGGTTTTAGCTGGTTTCAGGTGATTTGAAGGGATCCCAAAATGAGAAATGAGGCTAGTATTACCATGGTTATTTGTCCTTCTGAGACATGAAGCAAGAATTACTAGCTGTTGCTCAGACTAAAATCAAATATGAAAAAGTTGGGAAACTGGTACATTAGGAGCACATATCAGAATTATAGTCTCCATGGCACCTTGTATGTAGCAGACACTTGATTTTTGTTAAACTGAGACCAAGACACAGGTGTCTTAGAAGTTAAAAGCTTTTGTTCAAATTGTGGCTTTGCCATTTAGTACCTGTGCAACCTTAGGCAAGGTATCTGATTACTGTGCAGTAGTTTCTTAGCCTGCAGCATGGGGATAGTGTGTTCATTTTTGCAGGATTATTGTATGGATTATGTGAGACGGTGTCTGTGATGTGGATAGCACAGTGCCATAATTAATGCTTAAAAATATTAGCCAAGGTCATTGTCAAATACAGTCGTATTGAGGATCAAAGATTAGGTCAGCTTGGTCATACCTTGTAACTTCCAGGAATAATAACTTTGTTGGAACAGCACGTGGAGAAAGTAGAGAATTTGCAGCCAGGTGTCAGCCTGCCTACTCTGAGTGAACTAATTGGTGTGTTTAAAGCAATGTTCATACTTAGACTTATTGATTAGCAAAGAGTGTGCAGTCTGCTTCTGTGTTTTCTAGATCGAGTACAGGGAGCCGGAGGCCAAAACATGAGGGACCGGGCCACGATTCGGCGCCTGAATATGTACAGGCAGAAAGAGCGCAGGTGAGCATCTGGCACTGTCCTTGCCCTTTTCCTCTGTGCCCTTGGCCTGTAGCTGAGACCCATTTGATAGTCCCACCCCGCTTTCCCCAAATAGGACTAGTGTATTTTATTTTTATAAGTCCTCATCTGAGGATATATTGATTTTAGAGAGAGGGAGAGAGAAAGAAACATTGTTTGGTTGCCTCCTTTATGTACCTTTTGGGGCACAGGACTCCGTACACTCCAACCCACTGGGCCACCCAGCCAGGGCAGGAGTAGCGTATTTTCAAATATTTTATATGGGTGTTGTTAGGATAAATTGTGATATTTTGGCTCAAGATGAGGATAGTAGATGGTGACATTGCGATTGTCTAACAAGACAGAAGTCTTGTCCCTCACAGCCTCAGCCTCCATGAGTGGCATATTAAATCTCCAGGGAAATATCCGTCAGATAGAAATCTGGTTTTTAACAAAGCATATAGGACTGTAGGCGTAAAAGCAGCCAGAAAACTTGGTGTTTCGTGCCGAACTTTAGATCACAACATTGTGGCACTTGAAAACTCATTGCAACTCTTAAGTTCTGCTGAGGCAGCCTCTACCTCGGGGACCTGCTGAGTGTGGCGTTTTGCTTGCTGGTCTTCATTTGTTTGATAATGAGATTCTGCGTCTGTTCCAAAAGATGTCTGTAAAATACAAATGTCCATGAACTTAATCTGTCTTAGTCACCTACTCTGTAGTTTGTTTTAGACTTTTGAGTTCCAGCATAAATCACTCTTTGCTTAAAATTCATTTAAAGCAGCCTTTAATTAATTATCCAAAAAACCCAAGTATGTGGGGTTTTTTTTTTTTAGCAAGAAGCAGTAAACAGATTTTAAAACATTGGCGTTATTTGTTATTCATCTAGCAGAAATCATTACGTGCTCTGTTGCAAGAGGTTAAATGGTTTTTGGACAATCTGTTTCAAATGTAGAAGTGCTTTTTGTTTACTGAAATCTGTGTTTCATGATCATTTAAAAAGAAAAAATAGAAAAGGTCCTTTTGATGGAAAGGGTATTCTGTGAACCAGACTATGCCGTTGCCTTTCTTCTGCCCTCAACCAAAATCTGCTAATTTCCTCAATTCAGGAACAGTCGTGGTAAAGTGGTTAAGCCTCTGCAATATCAATCAACGGTGGCTTCTGGCACAGTGGCGAGAGTGGAGCCAAATATTAAATGGTTTGGTGAGTATTGTTCTGTGACTTTTCCTCTGCAAAATATGTACTGTGTGGAAAAGGGGAGGATGTTCAGGTGTCTAAAAGGTAAGAGTTCGGGGGTGAGTGGGACTGTCCAAGGATTACGTGAGGAAGGAAAGAGATCAGAAGTACCCGTGGTGGAAAAACAGCAAAGTAGAGGTGGTAGATTTTGTAATTAACTTCCTTTTGGAAAGAACTCATTGTTGTTAGTTGTAAGTGATCCTCTTAAACAGTTAAGACCACCCTTCATGACCAGCATTCATAGACCTTCAAACTCTCGTTTCTTCATCTCTGGTAACCCGGAGAGTTCCTGTTTGAGAGATGGTTTACGGGGGGTGGGGCTTCTGCCTGAAGAGTGAGTGCGTTAGCCTGAAGCGCCTCTGAAGTGGGTTGCATTTGACCTGAGTGACAGCGCAAGGATCCCTTTGTTGGCCCTTGCCACGGCTTCCTTTGGAAAGTCCACCTTCCTTTTTGTCTGCACTTTCGGGCCTTCCCGAAAAGGGAAGGTCAGGTGTGTGGGGCAGGTCAGGTGTTGGACCCCTTTGTTTGTCTGGCCGTTGACCTCTCTGCTTAGGGGCACGTGGCAGCTACCTTTGAACATCTCTTACATCTTTTGAGGGGATGCCCCGTAGGAAACTGCATCACAGAAAAACGTCAAAGAAAACTCCATGCGGAGGCCTTTAGCATGTTGGCTCTGTACTGCCTGCATCCCCTAGATTCTGCCATTTCTGTGACCTTGGGCACTTTATTAAGTCTGTCTGCTGATCAGTTTCCTCATCTCTAAAATGATGGTGAAGATAGTACCTGTCTCATGGACTGTTGTGTAACTGAGTGAGTGATCCCATACAGAGTGCTGACTGTAGTGCTCAGCCAATAATAGTGAGTACAAAAGAAGCATTGCCACTGCCGTCATCAGCGTTCCTGCTGTTGCAGTCTCCAGCATCCGAGATCCGTGTTTGTGCGGCAACATGCTGCTTGATGGAACACACTCTTCGCCCTCTCTCATTTCCTGGGCGTTCTCTCTCCAGCTGTGTTATATACCTTTATTTGTCCCCTTACCTAGATTTGTTGGTTCCTTTGATAGTCCTTTCAAATCCTCGTATCCCTAAAAACAGCAGCTGACTCTTAGGTCCTGTGCTTTGGGATTTTGTGTATAACAACCGAGCAGCAGTGATTGGCTTTACATTTCTTTTCCACATCTAATAGGAAGTAGGACATGCGTCAGATCTGAGTTCCATTCGGTGATATTTATTTTTTCAGTATCATCCAGTTGGGAAGTTGGGCTTGGAAAACTGTGGAAACCCCTGTGTGTCTGGGCTGGTGGGTGAGTTCACAGTGTAATCAGCGCAGGAGAAGCGGTTTTTCTTGTTTTTGTTCCCCCACCCCTTTAAGTTTGAAAATGGCTGCATGGATGGATGGATCAGGTGGTGGGTGAGCAAGGGTATTTAAACATTTATTTATCTTTAGAGGGAGGGGAAGGGAGGGAGAAAGAGAGGGAGGGAAACATCTATGTAAGAGATAAATCAGTCAGTTGCCTGTCACATGCCACTAACCAGGGACCTGGCCTGCAACCCAGGCATGTGTCCTGACTAGGAATCAGACCAGCAGCCTTTTGGTTCAAGGCCTGCACTCAAGCCATTGAGCCGCAGCTAGGGTAATTTAAAATCTTACCTTTCACAGTGTCATTGGGAAGATGGATGCAGAAGCAAAAAGGAGTTATTAAATGGCCACGTTCTTTTGTAAAACAGGAAACACGCGTGTGATTAAGCAGTCATCATTACAAAAATTTCAAGAGGAAATGGACACAGTTATGAAGGACCCATACAAAGTTGTCATGAAGCAAAGCAAGTTACCCATGTCTCTTCTCCATGATCGAATCCGGCCTCATGTAAGACAGAGATATCCCTGGCAGTGGGGTTTCATTAACAAACACCTTGCAGATGCTCTCTATCATACTTGTCTCTCGTTTTCCCCCAGAGGATAGTGACTTGAATGCAGTACTGATGGGCCTTCCGAGACTTCTCTCTCCACCTTTGTTAGGGGGTCTCACCTTTCGTATGAACTACATTCTGTCAGTGAGGTTCGGTAGTGTGCTGACCAAAGCACCGGCTTCGGAGTGAGACCTGGACCTTAATCTTGGCCCTGCCCCTTCCTGTGGCCTTCTGCCATCCCCCCAGCTTTCACCTCCCCTGCCGTGGAGTCGAGATAACCCATCTCCTCACGTGGCTGGGTGCAGATGAAATGTTGGTAAAACTCTAGGCACGTAGTGAGCACATAGCCCACCACCTCATCAGAGCTATTACCAGTACTGTTTTTATTTTTATATTTTGGTAGGCAAACTTGTTTAACAGTAATTCCACCAAACTTTGTAGAATTAGGATCGGGTTGGTAGGAGGGAGGCCTTTGGTGGTGTGTACTTGCAGCTGGTCAGCTTGGTTATTAATCACTGGAGTTCAAAGTACAGTAAGGACCGAATCTGGCTTGAGTAGAATGAGTTTCGCACAGAACCGAAGAAATGGCCTAATGTTTTCCTGCACGTTTTTACTTGCATCGAATAATAATTCCCAGAAACGGAGCCAGTGCATAAGCTCCAGTTCCAGTATAAGGAGGAGAAGAAACATTGACATGCATACATGGATTAACAGTTCAAAGAAAAGTGTTTACTTGCAAAACAAAATAAAAACCAAGGCCTGGTTATTGCCTCAGGTTTTATCAATTATGCTTTGTTTCATGACAGACTAGAAGAATGGCACCTATTAGTGGAATGACTGTTTTCTTTCAGAGAAACACATGAGTGTAATTCACAAACCACAGACAAGTTGCTCATTTCCCTTGTTCTCTTTGTCTCCTCTCCCTGAAGCCATCTTTCAACAAACTATTGAATCCTGTTTATGAGAAGAACAGAGAGGTTCTATTAGGGATTTATTGATTTGTTGCCCATTCCGGTTCCCTGTTTCCAAAACCCGGTGCCTAACACTCTGATGTGCAGAGTGCGGGCTCTGCAGCTGCAGCCTTAGCTTGCACTTGGATGCAGATAGGTGCTCAGAGGAACCGATGGGTTTCCGCTTTGGCCTCAAGAAACCTTACCTATTTTATTCTAGCACGATAACCTACTACTCGATAAAGAGTCTAATTTGGAGGGTTGCTGCTGAATGGAGTCAAATCAGATACGGTTTTAACTTTTGCACATTCAGTTAAATGTGCATTATAATTATTATATTTCTGTAGCAGTACATTAGAAACACTAGCTTATTTTGTGTGTGTCCTTTAATGCACATTATTGCATTTTACTTGCTAATATATAGGTTTATATACACAAATCCATGGGTACCACACCTCAGGTTATTTAGAAGATTTTCAGGGATAATTGTAATCATAATTTCCCCAGCGACATTAGAAGCCAGCTCCCGTGTAAACACATCTGTGCTTGGGAATGTTCCTTTGTTGGAAGGTAGCAAGTGAGACTGAACTAAGAGATGGGTTAAGGGTTTGAGAAAATAAATGGCAATAGCTTAAGGGTCGTTACGAGTTGGAGGGGGGATCTGTTCAGAAGCCACTGGGCTGTTCCATTGTCCGCAGTCAGTAGCTGGTGCTTACGGAGGGCCAGAGAGTGGCTTTTGTTATATATATTTTTCTTTTCTTTCTTTTTTGTTTTTGAGGGTATTCTCTGCCGGCTGTTAACTTTCTGTTACGTGATAGGTCCTAACTCAGACTTTGACTTTTATCCGGTTTCAAAAATTCGTACGCCCGTAACTCCTTCACAGACACATCTAGTTCTAGTTAGTATCAAGTTCCTTTTATCACATCTAAACTATTATTTTGGACTTTTGCTAGATGTTTTTCATCTGAAGACATTCCATGTGCATTTAATAAAAATGTTACCTAAATTAGGGAAAATGTTATCTGAAACTAAAATGCATCTTACAAAACAAGCAATTCCTTTTAGCCATGAAAGAAATGAACTTCCAAGAAAAAGTTGGCATTTACAGTTGGTTTAAAAAAAAACACAAATTTGGGTATGATTGTCCTTGACAAAAATCTGTGAATTTGACAAATTTTATGCATTTATTGGAAAGTACCCCCCCCAAAAAAAACTGGGCAGAAAAGATAAGTTTTCAGCATTGTAGTCTTAATTACATTTGAAGTTTATGATAAATGAAATAGAGCAGAGTTTTGGGGGAACTATTCATATTTGCTTTGACTGTTTGTATTACTTTTGTATTTCTCCAAAGCAGCTTACAGAACTTCAGAACTTAGGAACAAGTGCTTTTTCTTTTTATTTACTTATTTTTGCTTTTGCTATTTACATAAGCATTTCTGATTTGAAGTCAGGATGCATATGTGTAAGTTTTCGTGTGGCTTGAGCATTGGAAGAATAAAAGAAAGCCATTTCTAGGTGGGTCTTTCATTTTTTTTGCATTTTCTCAGTCTTTCCTTAGTTTTACCAGTAATTCTCCTTTCTCTTTAGAACTCAAAGGTGCACATTCTTGATACTGAAAGCTTCGAAACTACATTTGGCCCCAAGTCTCAGAGGAAGCGACCAAATTTATTTGCAAGCGATATGCAGTCTCTTGTAGAAAATGCAGAAATGTCCACTGAGAGCTATGACCAGGACAAGGATCGCGACTTGGTGACTGAAGACACAGGTGTGAGGTACAGTTTGCAGTTTACACGGGTCTCATCATTTGCTTCTCTACAGCATTTTCTACACTTGTTTTGCCCACACGAAGCTCAGAGATTTAACTCAGAGATGGAGAGCTGTCTTATTCCCTTCGACTAGAAAAGTCAGTGACATTGGGGTCAGACTGAGTAATTTAAGGTGACTTGTTTACTATAGGTCTCTTTCTTCATCCCCAAAGTAAAAATACATAACATTTTCTTTTTCATTGTAAGGGCAGTATATTCTGTCATGGGCAATTTAGGAAATAGAATTAAAGTTGAAATGCAACTTTTAAAAATAAAAACTCCTAACCCCAACCCATGCCAAGTGCTGTGAAGGTGAGGACCACCAGGGGATTCGATGGTGGCCTTTGAGGCTCCTGTGACCTTTTGAAGATGTGTGTGTGTGTGTGTGTATACACACAGGTGTTGGGCTTTCATTGTTTTTAGTTTTGCGTTGTTTGGGGGAGGAGGATGGGGACAGAGGGTCCGTACATTCATCATATTCTCCAAGAAGGTTAAGGGTCAGTCACCAAGATCCTTATTATTCTAAATCAGTCTTACACTTCATTTTCATTTACAAATATAATGCCTTAAGACTGTATTTTAACTTGCCTTTTATTTTAATGCCTTTTTCTAAACGTATTAATAGCAACACAATATTTAATGCCAGAGCAGTGTTTTGTTATAATTTTCCCTGTGGCAGACACGGGTGGCATAAGGCACCAGTGTGACCATCTCTTTCTCCTCGTTAATTATCACCTGGAGATAAACTCCCGGGGGGAGGGGGAGTGGATTGCCACATCGAAGACGTTACCTGCATCTGTGAGCAGCTGCCACGTCACCCTCCATTTCTGGGGTCACTAGTGCAGTTTTCCTGGGCAGTTCCGGACAGTCCCTATTCTTTCTCTGGTGTCTCCCAAGTGCCTTAGCACAGAGCCACTGTCCCTCGACTGCAGCAATGCCACCTCAGAGCTGCCGTCAGCCCATGTTGAGCTCTGGGCCTGCCAGGGATGACGTCAGGCTGTTTGGGGCCCAGCCAGAAGAGGCAGCTGGGTCATTTATTCCTAGGATTAGGTGGACTTTTTAGCTGACTTTGTGTTCTTCCTCTGAGTTGAAGTTTTTCTTCCTCCGAGAGGTACGGTAAGTAATGGGGGGAAACAAAACTATTTTTGTTTCAGAGATACCGGTTAAATGTCTTTGGGGATGGTAATAGATTCTCAACCTAGTCAGAAAAATTCACCTTCCACGGGAGCAGTGGCGTCTGTGATGGTTCGTGTCCTGCCAGTTCCTTTTCATAGCTCTCTGACATGTTGCCTAATTGCACTTGCTTTTTTAAAAACAAATTTTGCTGTGGTAAAACACACATACCATAAAATTGACCACTTTAACCTTTTTGAAGAATACAGTTTGGTGGCATTAAGTACATTCCTGTGGTCAGGAAACCATCACCACGTTCCGTCCCGAGCTGGGACTCCGCACCCGTTAAACAGTAGTGCCCCCGCCCCTCTCCCTGGGCTCGGCAGCGCTGTCCATTCCGCCCCCCGCGGGTTCGACGGCTGTTGTGAGCGATACCTCGTGAAGGGCTGCCATGCAGCAGTTGGATAAGGTGTTCAGGGTCATCCGTGTTGTGGCACTAATCAGAACTTTACTCTTTTTTATTACTGAATAGCAGGCACTTTTTTGGTCCATTCATCTGTTCGTGGACATTTGGATAGAGTCACTTTTAAAATTAAGCTTGTTTTTGGTGCATCAGCAGCTGGTTTTGATCCCCTTTTGCTTTAGTAGGTGGTTGACTCTCCCCTAAAACATCTCCTGAGTCTGAATTAACGGCGCCTCCCTTGCTCACTGTGCGTACTTTCTTCTTCAGAAATGAAGCCCAGGAGGAGATATATAAAAAGGGACAATCCAGACGAATATGGGGTGAGCTCTACAAGGTAAGGCTTTCAGTTCTTCGGCTTCCGCCGTCTTTCTTGAGAAAACAGACCCTGATACGTTGGAGCTCTGTCAGAGAAGTACAGGCTCCGCTGCCCGCGCCCTCCTCCTCCACGAGGAAACAGGGTGCGCGTGCCCCTCAGACTCGGTGATAGTGACAGCTGCCTTCGTACAGGCGTGCAGTCTGTCAGTATTTCCTGGGGTCACCTGCTAACATAATCCTGTTTAGATTGACCATCCATGGTGGGAGCTGCATGAGAATTGTCAAGTTACCCAGTGCCGGCCTTTCATTTCACAGAGAGAACCCGAGTCTAGACAGGCTGACTGCCTCACCCAGCTGCTTAGTCCTCGTGTGTCCCGAGTCCTGGCCCCGTGCTTGTCAGCTGGCTGAGTTTTACGTCCACACGCTGCTAAAACTTTTGGTAACAAAGAACTGTGGGCATAGTTGCACGATTAAGCAGTAACATAACAGGAAACTAATACCATCAAAGCAAACTAAATTTCTTAGTTTTTGGGTAAAATACACAAAACCTGTACAGTAGAAACTTTTAGAAGCCTTAAGAAGTAAATGATTCCATGCAGTAGCGTGTAGTCCTGAAATGAGGTGAGTTTCATCTAAGCTAGTTTTACAATTCCGTAGGTTTCAGGGATGATAAAAACTTTCCAATTCTGACCCCTGGGCCTTGGGACTGTCTGCCTCCAACCCTCATAAGACTGCTGTGAAGCTGTCGCTGTTGGTTTACTTTCCCGGGTCCCGTTAAATGGAGCCCTGGTCGGTTTCACCCTTGTCCCATAGCAGATTGTTTCTGCCTCTGCGCTTGCAGGTGATAGATTCGTCAGACGTCGTCGTCCAAGTCCTCGATGCCAGGGACCCAGTGGGCACCCGCTCCCCTCACATCGAGGCTTACTTGAAAAAGGAAAAGCCCTGGAAACACCTCATCTTTGTCCTTAACAAATGTGACCTAGTTCCAACCTGGGCGACAGTAAGTACAGCTGCTAATGCAGAACAGACTCGCAAGGCCGCGCCACTCCTGTGAGCTTTGAGTACCCACAAGTTAATTAGTTTCATGGTTCTAGGCCTTGGGACATGAGTTAAAGCATCGCACTCTTGCGAGTGTAGTCACTGAACTGTCCTCATTGAAAACACAGCTGAAATGTGCTTCACCGACTGGGCAGAGTTTGTCCCCTGATGGTGGGGAGCAGGGCGGCTTCGGCGCCCACAGGATGACCTGTGCCCCTTGGAGGGAGGCAGCTGCCACAGCCCCTGGCCTGTGCCACATGGTGTTACATTAATCGTGTTACATTAATGAAGGCATTGGGGGAATATTGCTTTGTGTTTAGAAGACAAAAGACAAAGCATTGACTGTCATCCTTGAAAACAATTTTCAAAGAATTATAGCTAACATTTTCCGTAGACAGCTGTATTTTTGAAGCACAAGCCTGTAATGCAGGCTCTGATTCTTCCTGTCTTATAAATAAACAAATTGCAATTTACCGGTGTCTTTTCTTTTCCCTCTGTAGAAACGCTGGGTTGCTGTCCTCTCCCAGGATTACCCAACACTCGCTTTCCACGCGAGCCTTACGAACCCTTTCGGCAAAGGAGCCTTTATTCAGCTTCTGCGGCAGTTTGGAAAGGTATTCAAACCCGGCTGTCTCTTCAGTTGTGTAGCTGGGGGTTTACAGTACTGATTTCTCTCGCCAATGTGTCAGAAAGCTACAAACCCACTTCCCACACCTTGATAGGAGAAACGTGTGTTCTACCGATGTAAAAACCTATAGAATCTCAGGATTATAAGGGATTCGGAGATATTTTCTAGGTCAGCCTTGACTCCCATCCCTGACCAACATTGCTGCCTTTCCGCCATACCCCCAGCACCTCATGGCCCAGCAGCTCCTTTATGATGCCCCCCCGCCCACACACACACACTCCCTCTGTTTCCTGCCCTGGGCTTTTGGGGCCCCCCATGCCTCCTCTGCCCTCAGGGCCTGAGCGGTTTCTGTCCCCTCTGCCTGGAGGGCGTCCTGCCCAGTTCCAGCTTCAGATCCTGTCAGCCGTCAGTTCCTCAGGGAAGCCCCGAACCCAGTCATCCTAGCGGATGTTCTCAGAGCCTGAGTTCTGTACCTGTAACTGTGTATTTAATTAGTTCTACCTGGTTGGTTAGTAACAAGACACGTGTTCCCTCTCTCACCCTTTCCAGCTTCCCAGAGGCAAATACTTCCAACCTTTAGCTGTTTACTTCTGTTATTTTCTTCCTTATCTTTAATGCATGCTTATGAGTCTCTTTCTTCATTTCTTCCCTGTCCTCCTCCCTGCCCCTCCGGTCTTCCTGTGTTACTTACATGCCTGTGATGGAAAATGGGGATTAGGTTTCTTACGGCCACCCTCCCTCCACACATCCTTCCTTTCCCTCGAGTCTCCCTGTATCATTACATGTTTGGTTAAATTCAGAATTCACATCATTATGGCCGTAAAATATCAGTTGCAGCTGAACCACACAGTGCTGTGATTCTGATTGCTGTCTAATAAAGCCTGTTTTCCCTGGTGTTAATTTGCTCTATTCTATTTGTCACTAATGGCCCACCCAACCCCCTGGTGGAGCGGGACCTTCCAGAGTGTCTAGGCACCTCCTTTCCAGTGGGCCCGGATGCTCCCTCCTGGCGCCGCCTCCACCATCGCCCAGAGACCACTCGTGGCTGTGTTCTGTGTTGGATCTCTTGTTCATTCGGGTCTCTTTTTTTCCCCCCCAGCATTGCTCCTTCCTTTTGATGGAAATACATTTTCCAAAAGCTTCCTGAGAGGGAGTGAGATGGGACATCTTTGAGACCTTGCACTCTGGAATGTCTCCACGCTCACCCCATTTCTTCTCAGTGTCGAGGGCGTTGTCGTCTGCTATTCCCGTGGAGAAATCAGAGGCCGTTCTGGCTCCCAGTCCTTTGTGGCTGGGATCTTTGAAACTCCTGTTCTAGGATTTCACAGCAACGTGCTTTAAGATGGGTCTTTTATAATTCAGTGGGCTAGACATCGGATGGGACTTCGAGTCTCATGTTGCCCTACGTTATTTCTTGGAAATTCCTCCCTCCCCATGGGTATTGCTTGTTGAGGAATTTGGTTTTACCTCCTGGCTTAATTCTTGAGGTGTTTTTTTTTGTTTTTTAACCTTTTTAAAAAAAATTTCAGCAGTACATTTACAACCTTTTGCTCTATTTTCTAGGCAGTTTTTTGGCTTGATCATCTAGCTGTTTTATTGCAAAATTTACTTTGCCTCTCACTTTTAGTCTTTAATTCTTGAGAGCTCTTGCTTAATTAACTCTGAATTGCCCTGCCCCCTTTTACAGCCTCTTCTTTCTCCTTGGGTGGAATGTCATCTCTCTCAGGATGGTAGTTGTGGTTTGCAGCCTCCTCTCCCTGCACTGACTGTGTTTCCCCTCAGCTTCTGTGTGTGCATTTCTGTCTTTTCTGACGCATGCTCACTTCGAAGTCTGGTTATTCCGGGCTCTCTGTCTGCTGTACTTCACCGTGTGTACTGTGCTTCTGCACGTAGTGCGCACCCATGGGGTCATTGTACCCACGTGTAATGCGCACCCTTCTTTTTCCTCATAAATTTGGGCAGAAAGGTGTACATTATATACAGCAAAGTACAGTATATTTAAGAGCCACTTAAAAAAACCTGATAGTTTTACTGGGGGGTTATTGAATGATAGACTTTATTGTAGGGGAATTGGATAGACACCCAGTATATTTTTTTTGAAGGACACCCGAGACATCAGTGTCTGTAGGTCTTTACTCTTGGGCCTGTGAGTTTGACCAGAGAGAAGTTTTCCAGTCTCCAGCTCAGGGGTGGATCACCCTGGTGAGAACTCTGGAAACTCAGCAAGGGCTTGAGGGTCTCACTGTTCCATATGTAGGCTTTCATTAATCACTTTGCTTTTAGCCACTGTTAACTCTAAGTCTAGGGTCCCTTTCAGATTTGAAAAATAGAGATCTTTTTCAGAAATGCAGGGTTTCAAAATAATCATTACCCCTGAAGGCTCTGGGCTGGACGTGTTGTGTGTCCGTGATAACAGAGGGGGGGTGCAGAGAGTTGGCTGCTTCTACACACTTCGCTAGTCTCATGAAATTATGTCCAACCTTAGAGCTATCTATACTGCTCCTTGAGGTCTTTTGTGATTCATTGACACTGTTTTTGCTGGATTTTCAGTTTTTCTTCCTTTTTTAGCCACTTAGGTTTTCATGTTTAAAGATTTTATTTACTTATTTAGATAGAGGGGAAGGGAGGGAGAAAGGGAAAAAAACATCAGTGTATGAGAGAAACAGTGATTGCTTGCTTCCTTTGCAACCCAGGCATGTGCCCTGGCTGAGAATCGAAGTGGCAACCTTTTAGTTCACAGGCTGGCTGCTTAATCCACTGAGCCACACCAACCAGGGCGGATACTGCTTTTTAACTGCTAACGTTTTGTTAATATTACATGTTAGTTTTTATTGGCTCTTCTCCAGCTCATTCTTGGGTTTTCTATGTTTGGTTCTATGGGTTTGTGTGTGTTACTTCCCAGTGCTGTGCTTCTAGTGGAGTTTGGGGAGGGAGCGAGGCGGACATGGGTGTTCACTGCACCGTCTTTGAGCACAAGTCCCCATCCACTTGTAGACCCTCTTCTGGAGCTCGGCCTCCTTCTCTTCTTTGAGGCAATGAGAAGGCAAAGTGTGTTGTGCAGCAGGGAGGAGGGAGGGGACCTTGACAGGTGCAGCATCTGCTAAGCTCCTCTTCCTTGAAGACATTTCTTCAGTAGTTGGTGTTCTGAACTGATGACTGACTGTTTCTTCCTTTGTTTCTTTTTCTTTTTTTAAAGATTTTACTTATTTATCTTTAGAGAGAAAGGGAAGGAGAGAAATATCAACATATGGTTGCCTCTCATGCGTCCCCTGCTGGGAACTGGCCTACAACCCAGGCATGTGCCCTGACTGGGAATCGAACCACGATTCTGGTTCACAGGCCCGCGCTCAATCCACTGAGCTATACCAGCCAGGGCTTTCTTCCTTTGTTTCTTGACCTACATATTTTCAACCTTGAGACATTCAGGAATAATTTCACATGGAGGACTGAGGAAATGACTCGCCTCTGATTTATTAATAAGTACATGTGTCCAGCTGGCTCAGACGACCTAATGGTGTGTGTCTATGCTTTAAATCAAGTTCTAGCAACTGTTTTGCACTGTGTCTTTCTATCAGCAAAGTAATATAACCTGTTTGTTCAAAGGGATTTTCGCGACTGTGTGTATGTAGTGTGTATTCTTTTCTTTGAACAGTTGCACACCGACAAGAAACAGATCAGTGTGGGGTTCATCGGCTATCCAAACGTTGGCAAGAGCTCCGTGATAAACACGTTGCGCTCCAAGAAAGTCTGCAGTGTGGCCCCCATTGCAGGCGAAACAAAGGTACGTCTGGTTTGCGGGTCGTGCTCACTTCCGAGTAGTCGACTTTTACAGAGGGTGACTATTTAGGGCAGGGAGATTTCTATCAGCTTCTCTTTTTTTTTTTTTTAATTTTACTTATTTTTAGAGAGGGGGAAGGGAGGGATAAAGAGAGGGAGAAAAACATCGATATGTGAGAGATGTATCAGTCAGTTGCCTCTTGCTCGTCGCCAACTGGGGGTCTGGCCTGAAACCCAGGCACGTGCCCTGATTGGGAATCGAACCCAGCAACCTTTCGGGTCTTGGGCTGGCACTCAATCCACAGAGCTACACCAGCCAGGACTCTATCGGCTTCTCCTGAATGAAGACTACCATTAAAGGGTTAGTCTCAGCATAATAGTTTGGAATGTACCAGAGTGGTTTCTGCCCATTTTGATAAGCCCAAGAGTACTCTTTGTAAGCCACTGTGTGGCTTTGGCATGATTTGGTAAGTGCCTTTCATATTTTTTAAGTCTGTTTTAAATTGTTGCTGCAGCCTTTGCTTTGGTCAACAAAGTTAACTCAAGAATATCTGGTGGGTTAAGAAAGAAATTTCAACATTAAGGTAGATTCTGACAGTTGGGGGTCATACCCTGAACACAGAATATTTGGGGAGCCAAACAGTGTTAAGCTTCCAAGAGTACTTTTAAAAATTAGGAAAAGGCTCGCCGGATGTTATTGCACAGTATCAGCTGGGGATCCTGCTTCTGCTTTATTTTTAGACTCCTGGCTGGTAGAAACTATAGTTTCTACTTAGTGAAGTGCCCTGGGCAAGTAGTGGAGGGGCTCCGTGGCTTAATACCTCAGCAGGTGGCTTCTCTTTGCCTCCTCCCACCGCCTTTTCTATCGTGAGCATCCGGGGTTTGTGCAGTTAGACTCCGAGTGTTTGACCCGAAAGTCTGCGGCTCTTTTCTGTCTCAGGTCTGGCAGTATATCACCTTGATGCGGCGGATATTCCTTATCGACTGTCCGGGTGTGGTGTACCCCTCTGAGGACTCGGAGACAGACATCGTGCTGAAGGGAGTCGTGAGTACTCTGGCCCTCGTGGGCACTCGGTCTGCCTTTCGGGGGAAACGCTCAGTGGGGACACCGGATTCCTTTGCTTCTCACTCCTTCCGGAGACAGCGCCGGGCCGACCTGTCTGAGCGAACTTTAGGAACGTGATGCTGAGCAGGGCTGCCTCTCCATCCTAAAACCTCTCCTAAAACCTGTCTGAGGAGTCCGTGGAACCCCTGGGCTGATCTGGTTACTGTTGTCCCACAAAAGAGTTGGTCGTTTACACACAGGACCCAAAGGGAAGCAGGGCCTGTTTATGTTTAGTGATAATTCATCTCCGTGGGTTTGTGGGTTGAGTCACTTTGGAACTCAATCATTTCCTCACTTGTTTCTGAATATGACCGAGAACTTATAACTGGTTCCACTTGACCTTAATCAGTGCTGTTAATGATACATCTTGTGCACATTCCTCCCCTCCCATTCCCTTCGTGTCCTGGGATTGGCAGGCTTTTAACCGTTTCTGCGAGTGGGTAGCGTGAAGCTTTCCAAGTCGAAAGTGCTTGCGGAAGCACTCAGTTAGTTGGTGGTGAGGGCATTAGGGCTGAGTCCTGGGCACCGTGGCTGTGCTGGCTTTCAGTGGAGCTCCTGCCAGTGGACCACGTCCACCCCCTCGGAAACGGGCTCCTGCCAGGCCCCATTGCCGTGGGGTTTTGAAACTTGGTTTAGGTATTGTTACAAAACAACTTTCCTATTAACATCCAGGTTCAAGTTGAAAAAATTAAGAGTCCTGAAGACCACATTGGTGCTGTACTCGAACGAGCAAAACCAGAATATATCAGCAAGACATACAAGATTGATTCTTGGGAGAACGCCGAGGACTTTCTTGAGAAGCTAGCGTTCCGGACTGGGAAGTTATTAAAGGTGAGCGGGGGTGGGAGACTGCAGACTGGGACGTCCCGGGGCACACGTGGACATGGCCCGGACCATTGCTTGTCCATGGTGTGGGTGGTGTGGAACCCGATAGCAAGTCGTTGACAAGCAGCCGGGAGAGCTGCCGGGCCTCCAAACTGGGGGGTGGTTTTGCTCCTGGAATTTAACTGGGAGTCTCTCTGTGACCTTCCAGGGCGGCGAGCCTGACTTGCAGACTGTGGGCAAGATGGTTCTCAATGACTGGCAGAGGGGCCGCATCCCTTTCTTCGTCAAGCCGCCCAATGCAGAACCCCCTGCAGCCCCCCAGGTAAGGACAGGCGGACCCACCTGTCGGAAAGCATGGTTCCTGACCTAGTGCGGGAAGGTGTTGCAGCTGCAGTGTCTCCCAGTCCAGGGTGCCGTCACCATGCCCTTGCTGGCGGGTGGCATTTGGAGACCAGAAAGGAGATGTATGACAGAAGACCAGTTCTAAATACCTGTCGTTAGGGCCTTGGAAAAAGAAGGCTCGTTAAATGTAAGTGCTTTTCTGGTACTTGCACCTTTCTTTACACTCGAGGAACAGGCATTTGCAAGATTCATTTCTTGAACAGGCGTTTGTTAGACCCAGCCATGCGCCAGGCACAGGTGACAAGGGGGTTAATGGCATAGCCCTTGCCGCGAAGCAGCCGTAGTCGGGTGGGAAAAGACAGTGGCACAGGCCATACTCAGGAAAAGAAGCCTTAGATTCAGGGCCTCGAGCTGGATTGAGACATTTCCTCCGGCTCCATTTCCCTCACCCTGGCTGTGGACTTCCATGGGCTCCAGCTGTAGCACCTTAGTTTTCTCTTTACAGGATCGTGCTCAGAGCTTGGTGAACCCTCTCAAAGAGGGAACTTTGGAGTTTCGCTTACGCGCTGAACTTGGAGTCTGCGGAGCTCTGGTTTCCTCTTACTTGAGCTCATTCCTAGAGTTTCAGTTGTCAGCTAGACATTTCCAGTTGAATATTTTCTCCAGTATTTTATTTTACTATATTTTAAAGATTTTATTGATTTATTTTTAGAGAGGGGAAGGGAGAGATAAAAAGAGGGAGAGAAACATCAGTGTGTGGTTGCCTCTTGCACACCCCCTACTGGGGACCTGGCCTGCAACCCAGGCATGTGCCCTGACTGGGAATCGAACCAGCAACCCTTCGCTTCACAGGCCTGTGCTCAATCCACTGAGCCACAACAGCCAGGGCCGGAAAGGAGCTTTTGTGGGCAACAAAAGACCCTTATTTTTACATAGAAAATTCCAAGGATTTTTGGAACTCTTATGCCAGGACTTAGCTAGGGTCAAAGACCAAACGGGTATTTTTTTTATTATGCTACAGGGAGACAGGTAGAAAGCGTACACACCTGTCGGAAGTATCGACTGCAGTGAGGAGAGCCGACCCCGGGAGGGCTCTGTGGTAGACGGGGTGCCGTGCACACGCGGCGATGAGGGACGGCCTCGGAGGCCTGGCGTCTTAGCCGAGGCCGTGTGGGCGGGAGGCAGGCGCTGCGAGTGTCTCAGGAGGAGAGCACCCCAGGCTCAGAAAGCAGAGCAAGTGCCAGGGCACCTGAGGGGAAGGTGGCTCGGTGTGTCCATAGTCCTGACGGAAGCCATGAGCTGGGACGTGTTGGGCCGGGGGTGGGGGAGGGTAGTGTGATGGGGAGCCGCAGACGGTTCCGAATCGGGGAGCCGCTGGGTCGGAGGGAGGCCATCACTGCTGGAAGCAGTGGAGGGCTGTGAGCTCTTCCTCCATACCCAGTCCCTAAGTTTTTTTTTAATATTTTATTTATTTATTTTCAGAGAGAGGGGAAGGGGAGGAGAAAGAGTGGGAGAGAAACATCAATGTGTGGTTGCCTCTCATGTGTCCCCCACTGGGAACTGGCCTGCAACCCAGGCATGTGCCCTGACTGGGAATCGAACCGCGATCCTTTGCTTCACAGGCCCGCACTCAATCCACTGAGCTACACCAGCCAGGGCCCCAGTCACCAAGTTAGTTCCTCCCACTCTGTGAATCTTGACTCTGTGTGTGTGTGTTGTTGGTGGTGGTGGTGGTAGAAACTGTCTTGAGAATCCAAAAGCTGGGGGAAAAATCATGTTACTAGAAAAATGTACACAAATGTACATATACATTTTGTATGTAGTTCCCTGAATTTTATGGATTCCTGATTTATTTAGCACTTTTTTTAAATCATTAAGTTCTGTGGATTTCAGTTGCAAGAACAAAATACTACATTTGTGAAGCACCAGGGTAAAGTCTGGCACATACTTGTCTTTGCATCGTTACACAGAACTCGCTAGTCATTTCCGTGTTTCTGCCGCTGCTGGACTCACCTCACACCCTTCCTTCTAGATGTCTCCCCAGGGCCTCTCCTTAGTGCTCCACACTGTGTAGACTAAGGAGACTGTTGTCCTTGGGGGTGTGTGTGTGTGTGTGTGTGTGTGTGTGTGTGTGTGAATGAATCTTGAATGCATTCTTCTCCACAACCCCCGTCCTTACAATCCTCAGGATGGTGTAGCGAATCTTACCTGTCTCACAGTGAATGGGCGATTGGTTACGATGACCAAACACTGTCATGGTGGTTTCCTCCTTTGGAACCACAGGTGTGGTCCCTTTGACCTTGAGTGCCGGGTTCTGGGTTTAAGGCACATTGGCTTCCAGCGGATCCGTGCTGTGACTCCCGTGTGGGTGTCTCCAGTACCGCCCCTTAGTCCTGAGAAGAAGGTGGGCTCACTTGAGAGCAAGGTATAAATTCAGAAATTCAGCTTTGCTTTTCTGATTCCTTTTCTCTCCCCCACGCCCACCCCTTTTGGACTGAACAGATCGCATCCTCGCCGTCTTTGGAAGCTGCCACAGAAACAACCCAGAACAACCTAGAAGAGAAGATCACAGAAGCCACCAGCGAAGAGCCAGACTCCGTCACCGAGGACAAGGAGGGAGGGCAGAGCAGTCACTGTGACGCCAGCTCGGAGATGCAGCAGATCCTCGCGCGGGTTCGGCAGAACTTCGGCAAAATCAACGTCGTGCCTGAGTTTTCGGGGGATGACCTGGTTCCTCTGGAGATGTCAGATATGGACGAAGAGCTTGGGGACTCTTCTGCAGAGGAGGAGGAACAGGAGCAGCAGGGGGACAGTGAGGACGAGTATTCCCCAGAGCCCCAGGAAGAACATGTGGAAGACGACACCAAGGCGGTCATTAAAGCCCTGGATGAAAAGATCGCCAAATACCAGAAGTTCTTAAACAAAGCCAAAGCGAAAAGGTTTTCAGCAGTCAGGTATTGTGTTCCTCTCCTCGCGAGGTGCAGTTTGCTCCTTTCTTTCCAAGAAACTGGCCAGGAGTATCGGCGTGGTGTATTTACCGGGCCGGGGGAGGCAGGGGACTGGGGGTATTGCCCACATTTTTAAAAAGTGATGTTATATTTTTAAAGATTGAGCATCCTAAAACATGAGAAGCTTCGTTGTTGTCTTCTAGAAGTGCCCAGAGAGCTGCAAAAACCGCTGGGTGATGTCTCCTCCCAGCGGTGGTGGCCGTGAAGCAGAGTGGGCCGTCTTTCACCCGGCAGGCTGTCGCCAGCCAGCACGCGGCCCGGGCAGCCGGGGGCAGTGTGGGCGGCTCCGTGACGTCGCTCTTCTGTTTCAGGATATCCAAGGGACTAAGTGAGAAGATTTTTGCAAAATCTGAAGAGCAAAGAAGAACAGCTGAAGAAGATGTGGAAGATGCAGGTAGAGTTAAATTGTTAAATTATTTCCACGTGATTTCTATCAGATTTCCAAATTATCTTGTACCGCCATTATCCACACAATTATTTACACTCAGCAGATTACCGGGATTCATTTACTACACAAATTGGATTATCCAGTTTTTATTCTGCACATTTCTTGGGATTAAATTGGTAATTCGGGACACTTCCTCTTAAATAGGCTACATGGGTGATCTTATAATTTAAGGTCTTCAGGCAGATTTTATTTTTTGCAGTGGGCTGAGGATTCATGCATTTATTATTATTGTACTCCATTGTACTAACAGCTTCTAAATCAAGGAGGTGTTTTCATGACGTGGCTGCACACACTGCTGTGGCCCAGGGGCCCCTCCCGGCCTGGTACCCTCCCGTCTCTGCTTCACTCTGCACTTTGCTCGCCAGGTCCCGTGCACTCTGGCCTTCTTCCAGCACATCATACTCATTCCCACTTTAGGACTCTTAGACACATTTTGAATAAAAAATTCCTGTTTGTTTTCTGTGTGTGTGTTCAATGTTTCCAGCACCTGCCAAAAAGGGAAGGAAGAGGAAGGCACGCAGGGAAGAGGAGCGCTCAAATAAAGCTCGCAAGACGCTCACATCTAAGGAAGTACGTGCTTTGGCCTTAAGTATCACCTGGATGTGGAACGTAGAGAGGAGCAACCCAGTCCTTAAGATGCGCTCTTTCTGAAACTTGTGGTACAGAGTTGAGTTCAAGGGACCCCGGTCCTAAGTGACCTGGAAGAGGGCAGTTATGTAGGGTCACAAGTTGACCCAGTGGACGAAGGTCTTGAGTTGGTGTCCTGTGGTTTGGGAGGCCCTGATCGCCGTCCTCAAATGTGTCCTCATCCGAAGAGTTGTTTGGTTTTCTCGGCCCCAAGGAACCAACTGCCCTGAAGGAGCAGAGCTGTTATCAAGGAGCAGAGCAGGCAGATCGCTGCTCCCCGTGACATTAGCTTTGTACCTGGGCCCTTCAGAGCTGGAACGGGCCCCTGGGAAGGCAAAGAGCTTGTGGTCGCAAGTGTTTGGCCTCTGGCCAGGGGACCACACGTCAAGAGTACGGCAGAAAGGATCTAGGCATTGGACGAGGGCTCAGCCAGCTGAGTCTGTAACGTGGCTTTGTCACGACCCACAGTGGAGGGAGCCCTCCCTCGTGGCCCGCACCGGCTGCTCCCCGTGGTTGTGGGGGGGGGCGCGGGAGTGGGGCTCAGAAATGGGGACCTGTTTTGTGATCTTCAGTTTGAATGGCTCCTCATTTTTTTTTTTACAGCGGAGGCGAGCAGAACGGCAGCAAAAATCGAAGAAAGTTGGCGTCCGCTACTACGAAACACACAACGTGAAAAACAGGAACAGGAACAGGAAGAAGACCAGTGACTCAGAGGGACAGACACACAAACACAAAAAATTCAACCATAAGCAGTAGCAGCAGCATTTTAAAGGCTGTTTATTAAATTATACAAAAATATGCTACTAGAAACTGCATTCATTTTCTTCTTGCCCAGTTGGCATTTCTGAGGCCACAGCGCCTTTGTTTCCAGGTCCGACAGCTGAAACCAGTGCCCGTGAGAGCGCAGAGTCCCTGCCCCATGGGTTTCCGCAGTGGCATCCGTGGCACCTCGACCCTGGAATTGGCCTCTTGGCTCCTCCAGATGAAACCCTGTCATGTAAACGTCTGACAGAAACAGGGATGAGGGCCAGAAAATGGAGACTGCAGTAATATTTTTGTGCTGGCAGCCATGTTTGGACAGAACAGTAGCATGAACACGGTTTCAAGGATGTAGTGTGCGTGGTCTAGGCTTTAAAATATAAAGAAAAAAGCTACAGCAGTTTCTGTTGTCCCCTGTTGTGTCTGGTAGGTGGATCCAGTCGGGACGTGCGTGCCCCACTGTCGAGGAGTCCTGGCAGCAGTCCGTCCCTGACCCGTGTCGTGTACTTGAGCAGACGGGGCCCAGGGAGTCAGAATCCTCGGGACCCGGGAAGAGGGTAGAAGCCATGATTTCAAGTTTGCGAGTTGCGTGAGTGGGGCGCGGCTGCCGGACCGCCATTCTTCAGGGAGCCTCCAAGCCCCAACCGGGCAGGCGGCAGGCCAAGGCTCTGCTCCAGGGAACCCCTCTTCACACCCCTGGGGGCAGTGCCGAGCACTGGAGAAGCATTTCCACTTGAGAGGGAATGTCAGGTCCTTCTTAGAGTGTGTTGTTTAGGAAATGTGAATGACGGAAGTCCCGCGGCCCTAGCCCACCCTGCTCTGCCCTGAACCAAAGATTTATGTTGCTCGTGTTGTCTTCTAGGTCTACAAAGCCAGAAGAGGCCTGAGCCTCCAAACTTGAACTCAAGTTAAACAAGTTAAACTTGAGTTTTTAAGAGGAATAGTAAAATGCAGTTGCCTGCAGCCCATCGCCTGGTCATTAATGATCAGAACTGCATGTAAGGTTTGGGCACCTCTCCCGTTAATTAAATGTAGCTAGTTAGAGGCGTAGGGCAAGGGTTCAATGTTCTACAGACTGAAATGAACAAATTGGTGTTGGGGGAGGAGCTGAGGTACAAGCAGCTGCCTCTGGACACTGTGACTTGCAGCTCTTTCCAGGAAACGTTTACTTTCTTAAAAGCCATGGGTTTGCTGCCATTGCCTCCTTGCCTGGGCCGTCGGAAATGGGAGGAAGGGGTCAGGTGATCCAGTACAAACCCCACCCTCCAAAGTGAGTTACTAGCACTGAGGTAGCGCGGGGCTGATGGAAAGCTGTCACAGAAGGGAACGACTGAGGCCTGAGGATCCCAAGTTAATGTACAGGATGCACCGTGGACCAAAAAGGTGGGGACAGGAGCAACTTCATTCGGCCAGAAGTGTCAGTATGGGCTGGTGAGAAAGTTGCTCCACCTGAGAGGGATGCAGCGGAAGGGAGTGGATTCTGAGGTTTACTATTTTGAGCCGGCAGAGCCCAATGCTGGCCATGTACAGGGACGGGCCAGGCTGCACCACCTTGCACTGCCCGGCTGCCAGACCGAGGTGTTTCCTGACACTGGGGCAGTGATGTGACTTCCGACAAGGACATAGGTGGTGATCAGGGGAGGGTATGGCATGTTCCTTCAGGAAACCAGCTTTTTATTACAAAGGTCTTAGGATGGGGTAGTAGCCCTTGTGCGACCCATATGGAAATTATCACTTCTTTGGTGCAATAATGCCTTCCAGTTGGGCCTGAAAAACAAAAACAAACTCCATTAATATTTGAAACTTGCAGCCTAACACAAATAGCTGAGAGGTGATAAAAGTCTCTGGGAAGGATTATCCCATTGCTGCCACTCCAAGCTATTTTTTTCCCTTCATTCCCAACTCCATATTTTCTAGATTAGCTGGTTTCTGGCTTGGCAGAGAGTCTTGCTACATTAGGGAAACCAGAGCTGTCCTGGTTTCCATACAGTAACGGCTCGGCGCATAATACAAAGCATTGAAAAGGAAATTGAATAAAAGTTGTTGAAATAGTGGTTTTTCATGGCTCGGATTTCAGACCCAAATATGTCTGCAAAGTTAAACTTTGGGATACTGGGAGCTCTGTGCTGGGACAAGAGGTTTGGGAAACAGCAAATTTTCAGCCACTGAGACAACTTGACACCCAATTAAAGAAAATTGCTACCAGTGAGGAAGGGAGCTGTCCGTCTAGTATGTAAAGCCAAAGACACTTGGGAGTTGTTTGTTCCCCTGGCAGCCAGTAACACAAGTCACGATCGCGGTATGTGGACAGATCTTTTTAAGTAGGTGTATCCTGGGGACTGCAAACACTTTTATTTGCAGGGCAGTTGTGAGCCAATAAAAATAACTCAGTTCTAAAGAGTCCTTCACTCTGGGGATTACAAGGTTGCTTGTAAACGTTAGAAAGATGCCAAGGTATTCCGCTTTGCTCTCGCTGCCAGTGCCATACGACAGGAGGAATTGGACTTATGATAAAGGAACAGGGCAGATAAGGGAGGCAGCTTCAGAGGCTGCTAGGTAAGCAGATGCACATCTGGCGGTGAATGTTTCTAGCTTTTCTTTGTTTCTGTTAAGCTCAGCAACAAGAAAATATCTCAACCCGCACTAGCTGTTAACACACACCCTTCTGTATCTCAAGTGCCTCTCTTGGTTTGTAGTGCCAACAAGCCTGCCAGCCACAAGAACGTAAGCTTCCTATGAGACTAAGGAAGAGAGGGAGAAAAATCCAGGGGCTCTTTCCAGCCAGGACCATGGGAGACAGGCACAAAACATCAGTAGACCATACGTATATCTAGAACAGTGATTCTCAAACTTGAGCAAACATCAGAATCACCTGGAGACCTTATTAGGCCAGACTGATAGATCCCAACCCAGAAATTTCTGATTGAGTAGATCTGGGGTGGGGCCAATCATCTGCATTCCCAACAGTTGCCAGGTGATGAGGCTGATGCTGGTCTGGATCCCAACCTTTGAGAACCTCTGGACCAGACAGCCTGGCCTGGCCCCTGCCCAGCTCCTCCCCCAACTCCCTTCCTTGCCTTTCCTTCAGCTCGGCTGGATCAAAGTATACACCCACAAGGAAGCTTTCAGGAAAAACACCTATAGCCTAGCTCCTCTGAGAAGCACACATCCGGGGAAGGTTCCTGATTTTAAATGGTTCTTGTTCAAAGGGCCTTCGCTGCCCGCCCCAAATGCAGTGCCTTGGAGGGGCTGATGCAGGTGGGCAAGCACTCCCACTCTGCAGAGCTCCCGCCACGCCAGAAGGGCTCCAGATGACCAGCCGCCACAGGAAGAGAAGTTCCATGTCTTGTCATAGCCCCCTCTCCCGAGGCTGAGCAGCCTTTTTTCAGAGGGGAAAAGCCTCTACTGGCGAGCCAGGCTGAGGCGTCATGGGGCTTCGGAGTTGAGAATACAGCCCCCTCCAGAACCAGACGGATGGAGAATCTGGGTGATGAATCTTCCTCTCCCACCCACCCTGAAAGTCAGCTTCCTTTACTCCTGTGCAGCGCAGGTGGGCAAGTATTTAAACTTGCAGGGGTGTCAAACCCATTTCGCCAGGGGCCACATCAGCCTCCCAGTTGCCTTCAAAGGACTGAATGTAATTTTAGGACTGTATAAATGTAACTAATCCTTAGCTCTGCTCTGCCGCCAGGTAGAAACAAGGTGGAGGGCCAGGTTCGGCCCGAGGGCCTTGTGTTTGCCGCCGTGATTTAAAGTCACCCGGAGGAAAAGGAACCGGATGCTTGGCCTTCGACCCTGGGAGGTCAGGCGGGCCAGCGCCTCCACCCGGGCTTGCATGAAGATTACCTTCAGCTGCTGATTCGTGCGCTTCAGGAACTGAATCTCCTCGTTGTGCTTCTTCTCCTCCACCTGCCTCCTCTCACTCTCCCTCTTCTCCGTGGCCTCACATTTTGCCTTCTGCTCGTTCACTTGCCTCTCCAAGTCTCTCTTTTCTGCTTCTAATTCTGCAATCTAAGGGCAGAAACCCCAGTCATGCTGGGATGTTACCAGCTGGATGGGGTGGCTTGAATGCCTGGGTGGAGGGGACCTGGGACACAGCTGCACAATCCAAGACATTGCCAGGGTCTGCACTGCCACCCAGTGGGAGGTTGGTGCCTGGCATGCACATCCAAGAGGAGACAACCCTGCCATGACCAGGCTGGCGCTGGTACACTCTGACCCAAGGGTCCTCACTCAGGTGATGGAGAGCACCCCAGGGGCCAGAATTCAGTGCCAGAATGACAACCATGTGGCCCCGAGACAGAGGAGTCACAGAGGGCCAAAGGCTCATGTAAACCCCACTCACTTTCCTCTCCATGTCGGACTTTCCCTGTTCAGCCTGAAGCGCCTTCCTCATGCCAAATGCCACGCTGCTCTCATACAGGGTCTGGTAGGCAGCGATGGTCATGCGGATCTCATCCCGGACTCGCAACAGCAGCAGCCCCCTCTCTGCACAGTTGATGGTCACTTCACGAATCAGCTCATCTTTCGGGGCGCGCGCACACACACAGAGGTCAGAGAAGGCCAGGAGGGAGAATGCACCTCACCTACTGCAAACCACACTTCCTACTGGGAAAGGTGCTAGGGTGTGTCCCCCTCACCTGGAGACAGATCTCAGGGAGGGGCCTTTAGTGGTCCCAGGGGCCTAGCCTTGCAGCCACGGCTCTGAACTTGACACTTGGGAGTAGAGGCAGTCAGCCAGCCCGGGGAAGAGGGAGACGGGAGCCTCAGGTTTGTTTGCAGCGTGAGGCCCCTGTCTTCCATCCTCAGCCAAGAACTGGATACTAGTCAAAGAAATCTGACTTTTCCATTTGAAAATGGTGGCTGCTTTAAAGCAGCTGGGGAATCCTATGTGTCCCCTTGGCTGGGCTGCTTTGGGGCCGAAAATAGCACCGTCTACAGCTTGCCCACCGGTCTCCTCCATAAATGCTGACCTGGAGGCAAACATAATCACACTCAGACCGAAGCTTCCCCAGGGTTTGGGGGCAATTTGCACGTCAGAGTCCACATGGGCTGGTGCCACAAGGCTGGAGGACAGCCACTGCGCAACGGCACTTGAGGAGTGACAGCCAAAATCCCTGTGTCTGTCAGCTAACAACACATTACCCTGAGACATTTTCTGGACCAAGGGCTGAATGTTGATGGGTAGATATACATATAGAACATACATTTTTCTGATTAAAAAAATGGACACAGTTTTATTTATTGGAATCTTGGAAAAAACAAAGACTTAAAATGGAAGTTCTTGTTTACTGCAAGCATCTGCTAAGGGGTGAGGAGCCAGGTTGTCAGGCTGACCTGCAACGGATGGGAGAGGCAGGGCTGGGAGGGAGAAGAGGGTGCACTTAGCAGATTCCAGGTGAGACAGGTGCAGGGAGACAGAAGATTCCAGATGGGGTGGGCTTCAGCTCAAGCATCCTCAGAGTTTGGGGCTGTGCTGAGGGGGAAGGGAAAGAGGCAGCACAGTGTACTGCCCTCCCACCCCGCAGGCCACTCACCAAAACACTGTGAGTAGAGCTCCCTGCGGACGGGGCAGATGCCCGTCTCCCTGGCCTGCCGCTGCTGCAGCTTCAGGTCCAGCTGCTCCTGGAGGTGCACCACATCCATCCTGGTGCTGGGGGTGCTGGACACCTGCTGGATCCATAGCTGTGTGTCTTCCACCCACTCCCTGCGGCACAGACACAGCCAGGCTGAGCAAAACCCATTACCAGAGTGGGGCGGGTTCAGGACGTGAGCAGAGATGGCCCTTTGAGCTCTCTGCCCGAGCAGGAGTGGGGGGCAGCTCAGTCACCAACCCGCCAGAATCCTCTATCCTCTCTCTTCCTTGGGGAGTGTACGACTTCAAAGCCACACCCACTCAGCTGCCTCCTTGGGGCCTCTATCTTGGGGCAGGGTAACCTCTACTTTCCTATTGCCCTCTGGGAAATTGTCACCCATGTTCCAATCTTTTCCTCCTAATGTGTTGAGGACAAATTGATGGTTGTTGCTTGATCTGAACAGAAGGCCCAGTGGGAACTGCCCACCGACTTGTGGTGTGGGAGACACAGGGCACCAGAAAACTTGTGCCAGTCAGAAAGAGGCGAGTGTGTGTGTTGGGGGGCGGGGAAGCTCTTGAAGGTGTGTAGCCCCTCAAAGCAAACCTTGTGTCAGGGGAATGGCCATGTTCAGGAATCACAAGGCCGGAGCCTAAGGGCAGACCCACCCTGGGGGAGAAGACTTTCAGGCATTGGTGGGAGGTAATCAACAGAAAAATCACTCCCCCATTTTCTTTGACATCCATCTCCGGTTAAAAAGGCATGCCAGGCAGTGGTAAGGGTGGCTACGGAAGAGAGAGGGAAGGCAAGGGGATTGTGACAGGGAGAAGGTGCTCTTTTCCAAGGATTCTCAAAGGCCCCTTGAGGGAATGGCATTTGAGCAAGACCCATGTGAAGAAAGGAAGGGAACCAGGTGAGTATCGGGGGAAGAGCAGCCTTGGCAGTAAGAACAGCAGCTGTCAAAGCCCTGAGGTGAAAAGAATGAAGTGTTTCAGAAACAGCAAGCAAAGTGAACACGAAAGAGAATAACAGGAGATAAGATCGGGGGGTATTAGGGCCAGAGCATGCCAGGTCTTCCAGATCACTGTATGGACTTGGGATTTCAGTCTGGGTAAGATGGGAAGCCATTAGAGTTTCTGGCAGAAGCCTGGCATGACCTGACTTACGGCTTGGGGGCTGTGTGGAGGAGAATAGATTGTCAAGGCAAAGAGTGGAAGCCAGGTTTTCAGATGGGAGGCCGCTGAAGGAGTATAGGTGACAGACAGTGACTAGAAACAAGATGGTGGAAGCAAAGGTGGTGAAAGTGGTCAGATTTGGGATATAATTTGCAGGTGGGGACAACAGAAATTGGCCAAGGCTAGAACTTGTGATGCGAAATACCGAAAGAGGTGAAAGGTGGCCTGCATCCCTAGTAGAAAGAGAAGACTGGGGACAGACGAGACTGGGGGAAGAGAAGACAGGTTGGGGGAGGAAGAAACATCTGTGAGTTAGTTTGGACATGGGGAGTTGGAGATGTCTATTAGCATTTTCATGAAAGTAATGAAGTAGTAGAATGTACGGGCGTTTAGGGGAGAGGGCAAGGCTAGAAATATACACAGGGGAGCCATCAGCATACAGATGGGATTTAAAGCCATAAGCCTTGGCGAGAGCACTCGGGAAACAAGGGTGGTTAAAGGACAAGGGAGATCCACCTTCCCAGGACCCAGCCATCTGTAAGTTCTAGGAGCACTGAGATGCTGGGAGGAAGGAAATCCCAGCCAGCAAAAGAGGCAGCATGCCTCTCTCCATGTTCCCAAGTTCTGGGATGGGAAAGTCTGGGCTTTGGAGTCACTAGGCCAGCTTTGCTTTTTTTTTACCTTGGGGGTAGGATGGCATTCAAGATTTCTTCTGCCTGCTTTGTAGGGTCTGGGACACTAGAAGCTGAGGAAAGCTTGCTCTTTGGTGGCTGTGGGACTGGACCTGAAGGTCCAGGTTGCTGAGGGCTGACTTTCAATGGCCGAGCCTGCAAAGAGTGGGTAAATCAGGGCAGGAGGTGACTAGACACTAAGCTCCACACATCCTGGCCCTTGCTCCACGTCTCCCACACACCCTTCCCTTTATTCCCAGCTCACTTCCCCCACCTGTCTTTTAACAGAAGTTATGTCTCAGAGCTAAAGGAGGCCATGAAGAGTCTCTGGTCCCACTCCAGTCGAATGCTTGTGGCATCCTGAACTGATGTTTCTGACCCAGGTGCTCAGGCCTGTGCCTTCAGTACCAGATCTATTCTTTGACGCGGCTACCGCGAAAAATAGCCGCATTCATCTCTCATTGATTTCCTGCTCCGTCCTAAATTTGCCCTCTAGAGTTGCCCAACTTTTGGGTTTCTTGTACTGCTCTCCCATCCTCCTTTCCACATCCCAATTCCCTCTATTCCCATAAGCTTCACATCCTCCATCCTTCCGGACTCTGCATCCTCAGCGCAGGCATTTATTTGTCTTTCCCCATTGGAGCTTCTGGGCTCCTTTGACCCCTGTGACCCGTCCTTACTTTGGGGCTCCGTTTCTCCGTGTTCCGGCTCACCAGCACCGGGGTGTCATACTTGAGCAGAGAGTCCGAGGGGGGGATCATGGCGACCGCGAGTAAGCAGCAGCCCCTCCAGACACGGCCCTGTTTACCGTCACCATGGAAACCTCCTCGCCACGTGTCCTGGGCGGGGCCAGCAGCGCAGGATTTTATTTTTGCACATATTTGGGGAGTTCCTCAGCGCTTAGTTTGTCAGGCTTCCTGCTCACCAGGTCTCTCCTGTACTCTTGGAAGAAGGGAGGACGGGTTTGAGTCCCTGAGACGCGCCTAGCTCGCGATTTTAATGAGGTGGCAGATCACCTTCTCAGACCCCCGATTTTGTAATCTGCAAAGTGGGAGTCATAGAGAAAGGCATCTGGAGTTCCCAGGTTTTAAAAAGACTTTGTTTTTAATTAAGTGGATAAATGACAAAGTAACAGAAAGTTCAAGAATACAGGGGAACTTTGGCTGGATAGCTAGCTCAGTTGGTTAGAGCATGGTTCCCGTAGGCCACGGTGGTGGGTTCCATCTGGTCGGGGTACACACAAGAATCAACCAATGAATGTATAAATAAGTGGAATAACAAATCGATGTTTTGCTCTCTCTCAAAATAAATAAATAAATAATGTTTGTAAATAAAAGGGAAATACTAGGAATTTGCCCACGATATACCATCTATGATCGCATTTTTCCCCTTCATTCCTTTGACTATCCCAATGTGAATGTAAGCACAGTTTGAGTGCAGTTTTGTATACTGCTTCTTTCTTAATGTCAGCGGGTTTTTTTTTCGTCATACAGATTTTGTAGGTAGCAATGCAGATGGTTATGTAACATCCATCAATTGCCTAAACAATTAAGCATCTGCTGGGCATTTACCGTATTTTGCATGTATAATGTGCTTCCGTGTATAATGTGCACCACGTTTTTGGCCCAAACTTTCAGAGGAAAAATCTTTCACTTTAATTTTTTAATTCAATTATTTATTTATATTTGGATACATATTTTTGTATTATAAAGGAATTTTAATATTTATTTTTGAACATATTATAGTACAAGAAATTTCATGTCACAAATAATTACAAAACACAAGAACAGATGCAAGGTATTTCAGGTACCACCCTCGTATAATGCACATCCATATTTTTCCCTCAAAAATGTGGGCAAAAAAGTGTGCATTATTCAGAGCAAAGTACAGGAGGTTGTCTCTTTGTTCGGGGATTAACTAATGACGTGGCAGTAACCTTGGGCATAGCTGCTTTCCAGAGTTCACTTTTGAAACTTAAAACTCCCGCCTACTAGCTGTACCACTACGACCCCGCCCACAACAAAGTCGTAGTCACGTGTCTAGCCTCTGCACCGCGAGGGTTTGTGGGAGAGCAAGCGTCCCAGAAGCGGAAGTCCAGGGATCTAACACGTCATTTCCTTTCTACGAGAGGAGCGCAACGGCTGTGTTTTGCCTTTGCTCCGTGGTTATAGCAGCATGAAGGAGGTGAAGAGCGAGCGGGAGCGGGGAAGCCGGAGAAGACACCGGGACGAGGACATAGTGGCCACGGCGGCGGTGGTGGTTAAGCAAGAGCGCCTCAGCCCGGAGGCCTCGCCTCCGGTTCACCGCCGCCCGGACTGCTCCCGCGGCAGCGCGTCCCCGCCAGCCAGCGAGCCAGGCCGCCCTGTTCACCGCGGGACCCGAGCCCGAGGACATAGCCGGTAAATGGGAAGCTGCCGGGGTGAACCTTCAGCCCGGCTCATTGAGAAAGGAGGACAGGGCTAGCGTTGGAAACACACCTTGAATGCCGAACGCGTCGGCTTGGACTGTATCCTAAGGCGGTGGGAAGGGACCCGGTAGTGCTTGTGTTATTGTTTACCTGTCACTGGCATTGTAGATAGGCGTTAATGGATAGGATCCCGCCCCTTCATCTCTGTGTGCCTAGCACTTCAGAGGGTAAGGCCCAGCGGATAGCACTGTTCATTTAAGTGGAAATGAAAGCTTTTCCCCATCTGCCTGCAAAAAGAGTGCGGACGTTGCCCTTCCAATTATCTGCCCCAAAAGATTCCCACATGGAGGGCCTAGGACATCTGCCTGATAGAACTTGTAGGAAAAAAATCGTCTCTTGCTAGACTCGTTCATTTATTCATTCAGCATAGCTTTACTGAGTACCTGTTATATTCTAAAGATTGCCCCAGGCATTGGGGCCAAAAGGGTGAGCAAGATAGATGGTCATTACCCTCTCAAATTGATGCCCTCTAGCCCCGAGAAAATTAGCAAATAAAGGAAGCAGTTTCCATTAGTAACAAGCATTAGGGGTAGGTTAAAGCAGTAATGTGATAGATTGGAGGGAAGTGGGAGACTCCCGTGAAAAGGGGCTCTTGGACTGAGGCCTGAAGGATAAGACGAATCCAGCCTTGTAAGGATCTAGGCAGGGGAAAGGACACAAGCAAAGAACCTGGAGTGGAGTTAACTGTGGTTGTTTTAGAAATAGAAAAAAAATCCAGCGTGGTGATCAGCCATGGTGGCTGGAGTGAGGTAGAAGAGGGAGGAGTCAGAGCGAGCAGACTGAGGGAGAGGTCCAGCTGATGGATTTAACGTGATTGTGGGGGAGGGGTGTGGGAGGGCTCTTGCTGATGGATTTAACGTGATTGTGGGGGTGGGGTGTGGAGAGCTCTTGGTGATGAGGACAAAAATAATAGAGTATGACTTCTAGGGTTTTTCTTAGCTTGAAGAACAGGGGGGATGGGGGTGCCACTTACTGAGATGGCACAGGCTGAGAGAAGAAAGGTTTTGATGGGATGAGGAAACAGTTATGTTATCTTAAGTAGGAGAATGTTTGGTCGGCAGTTATGTCTGTAGGCCTGGAACATAGGGGAGACCTTAGGCTGGGAAGATGAAGCTCCCCACTCCTATAGTGTGAAAAGCAGAGACCTTCACAGATGAGGTGTTTGTGTGGTAGATAGGCCTGATATTTGAAGGGAATTAATTACATGGGGGAAGGGAAACAAGTAAAATCCTGTTTATACCATTCTCTTCACAGGTCCCCGGCCAAAAAGAAAAAGTCCTCAGGGAGAAGAAGCAAGTCTCCTCGGAGTAACAGAAGCCGAAGTCCTCACCATTCAACTGTCAAAGTGAAGCAGGTAGGTGGGTGAAGATGGTTTGATGTTGGGGTCAGACCCAGAGCCCGTTACCGTCACAGCTCAAGTGTTGTGTGTGTTCACCTGTCCCTACAGCGGGCTGTTCTCAAAACCGGGTGGGCTTTTCTCCTGCTTGGGTTGCTAAATGAAACTTTTTATTGTGAGATAATTGTGGATTCACTTGCAAGTGTAAAAATAATACAGTTGTATACGCCTTACCCTGTCTCTCCCAATGGTGACATCTGTACAGTCGAGATGTAAAACTCTTTCATCACCACAAGGGTCCCTTGTGTTGTCCTTTTATAGTCACACCCCCCTCCCGCCCACTTTCACCCTCAACCCTGGCGACTGCTAATCTGTTCTGCATTTCTATAATTTTGTCCCTTAAGAACATATTTCTTAAATGTATCTCTTAAATTTTTTACTCAAACAATTGAATAAATTTTCTTACTCTTGAAATGAGCTATTTTAAAATTACTATTACATTTTCATTTTGGCACAAGAGAAAGCTAGCTTTTTTTCTTACATATTTATTTTGTATATGACTAGTCACCTCTTTGTTAGTTCTCTTTTCTGTGTATGATCACTTTAAGTGTGCCTACAGGTACTCTCATTTCTAAGGCTCTGAACTACAGCACTGTTAGAGCTGTAGTGCGGCAGTAGCATGGGAGATGCAGTCAGCGTGACCTTGCACAGAAACATAACCATCACAGCTGACTTTTCGAATGTAGTTTGTTCACAGATTGTGGGCTGCCTTGAATTTCCTGAATCTGTTCAAATTTCAGGAACGTGAGGATCATCCCCCCCGGAGAGAACGGGAGGATCGGCAGCACCGGGAAGCGTCAGGACAGGAACACAGGCGATCCAGGAACAGTGACCGAGACAGGCACAGGGGCCACTCCCACCAGAGGAGAACCTCTGGTGAGAGACCTGGTAGTGGGCAGGCTCAGGGACGGGATCGAGACGTCCAGAACCTGCAGGCTCAGGAGGCAGAGCGGGAGTTTTATAATGCCCGACGGCGGGAGCACCGCCAGAAGAATGAAGTCAGTGCCGGCGGTAATGAGTCTCAGGAGTTGCTTCCTCCACCTGGTGGCAGAAACAAAGAGAAAGAGGTGCCTGTTAAGGAAAAGCCGAGCTTTGAACTTTCTGGGGCACTTCTTGAGGACACCAACACCTACCGGGGTGTAGTCATTAAATATAGTGAGCCCCCTGAAGCACGTATCCCTAAAAAACGGTGGCGTCTCTACCCCTTTAAAAACGATGAGGTTCTTCCAGTCATGTACATCCACCGACAAAGTGCTTACCTGCTGGGGCGACACCGTCGTATTGCAGACATTCCAATTGATCATCCCTCTTGTTCAAAGCAGCATGCGGTCTTTCAGTATCGGTAAGTACATTGCAGAAAGGAACTTAAGTGTGAGCAGAAGCTAGTCTCAGTTAGGGTTACTAAAATTTGGGTTTTTTTTTGTTTGTTTTTTAATACTCACCGGAGGACATTTTTTCATTGCTTTTAGGAAGGAAGGGAGATAAAGAAACCTCGATGGCAGCCCTGGGGGTGGGGGTCGGGGGAAGAGAGAGAGAGAGAAGCATTGATTGCCTCCTGTAGGCACCTGGACTGGGGATTGAACCTGCAGCCTAGGTATGTGCCCTGACTGGGAATTAAACCTATAACCTTTCTGTTACGGACACAGCTCCAACCAACTGAGCCATACCAGTCAGGTCAGGATTGCTAATTTTGTTGTGCATGTATATGCAGAAGAGTCAATACCTGTTATAGCTGAGATTAGTCTTGAGTATTGATCTAACTGCCCTTTGAATAATCACTTGTATAAGAGCATTGAACTTGGTTTTGGGAATCCTGCCACTGCTACTTACCAAGTGTTTGACCTGGGACAAGCTACTTTCTGGGCTTTGGCTTCTGCCTGCCTCACAGGGTTATTATGAGCGTTAAATGGAAGTACAATTGGGAATGCTTGGCTTGTGTGCTGGCTTCGTCTGTGTCTTGACAGTTTGGACAGTTTGCGTAGTACACCTGTTATTGTTTGATCCTTACCACAGTCCTTTAAAATTCCTATCTGACAGGTGAGAAGACTAAAGTTCAGCAAAGCCAAGTGACTTGCCTAATAAATGATCACCGTAGTAGAACTCTGGCTCAAATCCAGTTCCCTTAACTCTAAGGTCCAAATCTGCTTTGTTTCCCTGCCCTGGCTGGGCAGCTCAGTTGCTTAGACCATTGTCTTGATTTGCCAAGGTGGTGGGTTCGATCTCTGGTCAGGGCACATGCAAGAAACAACCAATGAATGCATAAGTCAGTGGGTCAACAGATCGATGTGTCTCTCTCTCTGAAAATCAATAAATTAGAAAAATGTTTATTCACATTGGGACAGGAGATAAAATCAGTTGAAATATAGGTGAAAGAACCATTAGATTGATTATAAATGCCAGAAAATCTATTTTCTTAACTATGGCAAGAGGCCTTGGATTTTGCATTTCAAGCGTCTGATCTACTATGAATTTCCTGTCCTGCAGTGACCAGATCTCACCTTTCTAATAGGTATTATTGAACTTGCTCCTAATTTCTAGATTCGAGGCCATACCTTCCCCTTGATTTCTCAGAGATTGAACTTGAACTGTGTTAAAGCCACCCTATTTACCTCATCTAGGCTATATTAGCAAAAAGCTGGATGATTCGAGGCAGGATTTGGCCTACAGGTGTCTCTCTCTCTTTTTTTTTTCTTTACATTGAATTTATTGGGGTGACATTGGTTAATAAAACTATATAGTTTTCAGGTGTACAGTCCTGTAGTACACCTGTGTGTTGTGTTGTGTGTTCACCACCACAGGCCAGGTCTCCTTCCGTCACCATTCATCCCCCTGCCCTCTTCCGCTTCCCCACATCCCCCTTAGGTTTCTCTCTCTCATCTCTTCTAGGCTTGTGGAGTACACCCGTGCTGATGGGACAGTTGGCCGCAGGGTGAAGCCCTACATCATTGACCTTGGCTCAGGCAATGGAACATTCTTGAACAACAAGCGCATTGAGCCACAGAGATACTATGAACTGAAGGAAAAAGATGTACTTAAGTTTGGGTTCAGCAGCAGAGAATATGTTCTGCTTCACGAGTCCTCTGATACTTCCGAAGTAGACAGGAAAGAAGACGAGGATGACGAGGAGGAGGAGGAAGTATCTGACAGCTAGCGAACTAAGAAACAAACTCTTGAGAGACCTTTACTTTCTGCGAAGGCTTTGTGATGGACTCCGGAGCACCATGGTGCTCCTTGTAATGCCTCTTAATTGCCTTAAGTCTTTATGTTTGGTTGGACTTTTTCTGTGACACGTCAGCCACTTGCCTGTGGGCATCTGTTTTCAGAACAATCTTCACCAACACATCGTGTTTCGTAGAAGCATTGTGGCTTTTAGTTGGTGCTTTCAGAACCGCTGCCTAGGAAACTACAAACCCTTGGCTAGAGGGAAATTGTGGCTTGTTCTCTTTGTACAGTTACTTTATTTATAGGCTTTGTGAACTGGGTTTCTTTTGTTTTTGTTTCTGGGGCAAATCCCTTAACAGAATCTTTCTAAGCTTTGGTTATCACCGAAACAGCCTCCTGTATATACCAAAGCTTTGAACTGGTTGAGCTCTTGAGTCACAGAAGTTGATTTTGCACTTCTTTTTTTGGGGGGGGGGTCGGGGGGGGGGAGTTTACCACATGACCTCATTGTTGACTGCTGGGCTTAAACAGATGCTTTACGGAGTCTGATGGAGCATGTGACTTTGCAGGAAGATCACGACACTGCCCGCGGGTGCTGAGTTCATGGCCCAGGAGGCTGGGATGCATTGTGCAGCGGTTTCCTGTGAGAATTCTGATTTCTCCATGCAGCGTGTACATAACAATTTTGATCACCTTATCTTTTCTTCAACTTTGTATTTTTATTGAAACATTCTCTTTTTTCCCCCTTTTTTGAGGAACACTGTCATTATGTGGCAGGGTCCTTGCTTTATTCTAACACCGTGTGTCTATGTCTAAAGAAGGTTGTGTATTTACATTTCATCTTTTTAAAAAACATTTAGAGACGTTGTATTTACCTTCCCAAAGCTGGAAAGCGCGGGAATCGCCCACCTTCCTAATTTTCCACTAAAGGGATCTGTGTAAGTAGAAAATGCATAACAATTTCCATATAGTGTTGTATATATACAATTGTGTGTCAAAGAGCTGCACACTGATTTTCATATGAGAATGTTTTGTGATGTAAATGTAATACTACATTATAGGCAGTGGCCTCCCTGTATTTGAAGAGCAGGTTTTCATTTATATGTATTTTTGGGATGTAAAATAATAAAATTTGTAAATATAGCCCATATCTTGGCAGGAGAGTGTTGGTCCTGTTGAAGCAGCAGTGTTTTCTGAATTGGCAGCGAAGGGATTTCCCTTCCCAGGATAGTCAGAATTGGGGCAGGTTATATAGAGTGGGCCCCACTGATTCACCCTCAGGGGAGATGGAGAGAAGGTGCTGCTGACACGTCAGCCACTTGCCTGCTAACTATTCCTCTTGGGTGACACTTACGATACTATTAGATTGTCCTCTATACTGTTTTTCCGTTAAGGTCCCACATACCCTTATGTACTCAGGGGAGCTGCTGAGTAATCTTTATTCAAAAGAAATGAAAAGACCCTCTTTGAAGAGTGAACACTTAATAAAATTAGTTACATGTAAGATTAGGTGAAGGGAAGTTGTAACCATGTAAGAGCAATTACCGACCCCCCCCCACTGTGTTGGACATGGGCTATTGTAACAACTATTTGTTGAATTTTGATACGTCCCATAGATCACAGGTTGCATATGTGCATGAGTTTCATTGTGATGGATTTTTCTGTTGGTCAAGGGATTAGCACTAATCTCGCATCCCACTCCAGGGCCTCCTTGTTCGATCTGTGCTATTCCTACTGCTTCCCGGAGGAGGCCTTCGACTTGGCTTCACACACCATCCTGGTGGGCACTGTGATGGATGGCCACTTGGCTTACATTTTTCAGTAAGAGGCTCCAATTATGCAGTAAACTTTCGCTTCCTGGATTAAGAGATTCTTTATGTCAAAAATATAGGAAGGTGCTCCCTACCCCTCACTTTTTCTTTTTAAGTAACAAGGTTAAAGAAAAGACACTACCCATCTCCAAAGCCAGATATCACCCTCAGAGTTCTCATTTGAAGCTGATATAATCCTAAAGCTTTCTCCTGAGTTAATTCATTGCTTAGAAACTAATGTTCATCTAAGCTTTTTGCAAATTCTTTACTTCCTACATTTTCTTCACCCTACTTAGCTTGTCTGTAAATCATTGTCAAAATCAAGTTACCTCCACAACAGCCCTTTGCTTCTGGGACCTTCCTCCAAATCCTCTGTGGTGGTCCACATGTCTGAAAAGGTGTGGGACCGAATCTTTAGATTTTCCCCATCAAGCCTTTTCCTGGGCATCTGGTTCCCTCATTCAAACACTGACCAACGAGAGCTCATTAAGCGCAGCTGGTGATGTAGCTTTCAAATACTTTCATTGTATCCTTGTGATAAGTGAGAGCACAGTAATCAATTAAGTTAACCAAAAAATTTTTTTGATTGTTTTATTGAGTATGTTTGATATGGTGCCCAAATGGTTATATTTTTTAACATTTTTCCCTTTGGGGAGATTGTGGATGTGAAGAATGAAATGATACAATGTTAATCAAAGCCTAAGAGTGACACACAGCATGCCCCTGGGGATGTGAGTTTCTACCAACCAGAAAGGCTACTTGATCTACATTAAAGCTTTGGAATTGAAAGCTTCATTGGGTCTTTTGGGTGAAGCTTCCAGTATATTTATCAAATGGGAAACCGTTTTAAGGCCATTGATTCATTCACGTGCACTCTAAAGTGGATTAACTCTACTAAAGCAATGGTTGCATTAGCTTACCGTGCTAGCGTTTGGTTTACAGCTGTCAGAAGCAGGGAGCAATAAGACGGAAGGAGGCTGCACTGTGACAAGAGGTGGCACTTAAGGCATTCCTTAGAGACCACGTGGATTTTGAGCCAGCTGTGACGAAGGCATTGTTCCAGACAGCAGCGCGGTGCACAGCTGGGCTGCAGTGGGTGCTGTGGAGAGGGTGCTGTGAAGCTGGTGAGTGGCGGAGCCAGGAACTGCAGGTTCTAGGGCCATTGCCCTGGACCGCGGCTGCCCGTCTCCCTGGCAGAGCTGAGTGGGGCGATGTGAGAGAGACAGGCTGTCCTGTTCATAGGGGGTTCAAGGAATCCGCAGTGGGTGGGGTTCTCAGGGGTAGTGGCTCAGGCAAATCCTCACCTCATCCCACCAAGTCAAAGCCAGAGCTGCTTGGAAATCATCACAGTGACTCATAAAAATAGAGAAATTTTCAATAATTGGGTGCCTAAAAGTGCTATGAACCAGGGCCTCAATAATGGGCCAATACTTTCTCTGTGTGAAGCACAGTTCTAAACATTTTACAAGTATACTAATGACATCTGAATACATCTTCCTCACAATCCGGTCTCCTTTCATCATTCCACTTTGTGGATGGGTGCACTGAGGAACAGAGAAGTTCGCATGGTGGTAGGTAGGATTGGGACTCAAACTCAGTCACTCTGGTTGCAGATGCCCCATTCTTAACCACTGCCTCTTGCAGCCGTGGAATGGACAAGGTCTGGCTCTGGCAGAGCGACATCAGCAGGAGCTGCAGACACTGCTGGACGGGAGAAGCACTGGGGGGCTGTGGAAGCTCAGAGGAACCATATTCAACAAGCCTCCATAGTCAGGGAAGAATGAGCGGTTAGAAGAGGCCAGTGGGGCTGAGGAAAGAAAGGAAAACATATTTCTAGGCAGGGAGATGAGCAGTCAGAAATACCTGAGCTGAAACCTGCCCGGTGTAGCTGTGTTGGCTGGGCACTGTCCCTCGCAGAGAAAGGTCGCGGTGGTCAGGGTACATGGGTTTGCAGGCTCAGTCCCCAGATGGGGCAAGTGGGAGAGGTGGCTGATCAGTGTTTCTCTCCCTCTGTCCCTCCCTTCCCTTCTAAAAATAAATACATAAAATATCTTTTTAAAAGAGAAAGAAATAGCTGAGGTGATGAATTCATGAGGCTTTGGAAACAAAGTTCGATAGGGAGAAGAGGGTGAGTGAGACCTGGACTTTGATAACGATGGACAAAGTTCTTTTTCTGAAATCTGAAAATAGTCCAAATTTCTGGATAAAATATAAGCAAAAAAAAAATTCTTAAAGCATCCAAGAACTGACAAAATAGTTTAAAAGGTTATCAGTCCAAAAGTGAATATAAATAAGAATCCAGAGAGAAATGGAGCACAGATGCCTGGGAAGCATGTTTGGTCTAAAGGCAAAGCACATTTGATTCGAGCAAATCAGACCTTACCCTAGGTTGCCTGCAGTAGAAGCTGAAACCCAAAGCCTACATGCAATGGGCAGTATAATAGATGTTTCTCACACACACATACAAAAGCTGGTGTGTCAAAGGGCTGTAGTTTTAAGAATAAAGGAGTGGATCAGAAACCGAATCCTCTCAGGTATTTGCAGCCTGGGAATTCAGGAAACCTCCAACCTTGAACTCCATTTAAGATGACCTTGTACTATTAGTGCCTTCAGGTGTCTGATAGAAATAGATGAGCCGATGTGGTTCGGAGGATTGAGCACTGGCCTGTGAACTGAAAGGTCACTAGTTGGATTCCCAGTCAGGGCACATATGTGGGTTGCGGGCCAGGTTCCCAGTAGAGGGCGCACAAGAGGCGACCACCAGTGGATGTTTCCCTCTTTCTCCCCCTCTTTCTGAAGATAAAGATCTTTAAAAAAATAGGTGAAATTACTCTTTGGAGGGACTTTTTAACTCCTCCCCAGTTATTTCCAAATTTCCGCCCAAATATACAATTTCTTTAAAGCACACAATAAAATACACTGTAGATGACAACCAACTGAAATAACAGAAACTGAATCTCAAAGAGCTTCAGGTACTTGAATTACAAAATACAAAATGTTCATGATCAGTGGGAATTGACTGTGGGAGTGGGGGTTGGGATGAGTGAAGGAGGGCAAGGAAGGACAGTTGGGACAACTGTAAAAAAATAACAAAAAGTACCACTTGGCTGGTGTAGCTCAGTGGATTGAGCATGGGCCTGTGAAGCAGACAATCACGGTTCGATTCCCAGTCAGGGCACATTCCTGGGCCAGTTCCCAGCAGGGGCCAGTTCCCAGCAGGGGGTGCACCAGAAGCAACCATACATTTGCTTCTGCAAATGAAGCAAGAGAGGGAGATCCTCTCCCTCTCTTTCCCTTCCCCTCTAAAAATATGTGAATAAAATCTTAAAAAAAAAATAACAAAAAGTCTTTTAAAAAATATACGTATAAAAAAAGAAAAACATAAAATGTTGACCATCACAATTTTCTAAGAAATAAATGACAAGCTTGAAAATAGAAGGAACAAGAAACAGCAAGAAGTGAAATGGGAGTTATTTAAAAGACCAACTAGACTTGTTAGAAATGAGAAATACAGTAACTATACAGAAATCCATCAATGGGCAGCTTAAGAGAAGCTTCAGGGGGAATTAGTGAACTGGAATATAGGCCAGAGAAAACTATCCATGCACATCAATTTTTTAATAGTTTGAGGGTTTTTTTTTTAATTTTTATTTATTTATCTTTAGGGGGGGAAGGGAAGGAGAGAGGGAAAGAAACATCAATGTATGGTTGCCTATTGTGTGCCCCCTGCTGGGAACTGGCCTGCAACCCAGGCATGTGCCCTAACTGGGAATCGAACTCCGATCCTTTGGGTCACAGGCCCGCACTCAATCCACTGAGCTACACCAGCCAGGGCTCCATGCACATCAATTTATTTTTTATTTTTTGAAGATTTTGTTTATTTAGCCCTGGATGGTGTGGCTCAGTGGATTGAGCACCAGCTTGTGAACCAAAGAGCTGCTGGTTCGATTCCCAGTCAGGGCACATGCCTGGGTTGCAGGCTGGATCCCCAGCAGGGGGCCACATGAGAGGCAACCACACACTGATGTTTCTCTCCCTCTTTCTTCCTCCCTTCCCCTCTCTAAAAGTAAATATATGATTTTATTTATTTCTAGAGAGACAGGGAGGGATGAGAGAAATGTGAGAGATGCATCAATTGCCACCTCTCGCATGCCCCCAGCCAGGATCCAGGCCTGTAACCCAGGCTCGCGCCCTGACGGGGAATCAAACCAGCAAACAGCCTTCAGTTTGCAGTCTGTTGCTCAATCCACTGAGCCACTTCAGTCAGGGCATGAATATAAATTGAACAACTTAGATGAAATGGACCAATTCTCCAAAAACTGTAAGTTACCCAAATTCACTCTATGAAATAAATCATCTGAATAGTCCCATAAATACTAAAGAAATGAAACTTACTTTAAAAGCTGCCAAAAAGAGCCCTGGCCGGTTGGCTTGGTTGATTGGAGCATCATCCTGTGCACCAGGGGGTTGCGGGTTTGGTACCCAGTTGGGGTACTTACCTGGCTGTGGGTTTGACCCCTGGTCAGGGGGAATACAGGAACCAATTAATAGATGGTTTACTTTTCCCATCTCTCTCTCTCCCTTCATCTCTCTCTAATGCCAATAGACATGGCCTCAGGTGAGGTTAGGAAAAAAAATGTTAAAAAAAAAAAGCTTCTGAAAAGAAATATTGAAGCACAGATGATGATGGTTTCACTGAAGAATTCTATCAAATATTTCAAGAATTAGCACCATTCTATACCACATCTTCTTGAAATTAGAATAGCATGGAACACTTCCCAATTTATTTTATAAGGTCATCATTATTTTGGTACCAAAGCCAGAAAGGAAACTACAAAGAAGAAAAAAAAGCTTATAGTGCAACATCCAATGAGTTTAGGCACAAAAATTCTCAACAAAATATTAGCAAATGGAATCTAGCAATATATAAGAAGAATTATACCATGGCCAAGTGGGATTTATTCCAGATATGCAAGGCTGGTTCAACACTTGGGAATGATTCTATGTGAAGTACTATACCAACAGACTGGAGAATTAATTTGCACAACCATATCAACTAGCGCAGGAAAAGTATAGGACAAAACTCAATATCCATTCATGATAAAAACTGTCAGTAAATTTAAAATAGAAGGGAGCTTCCTCAACTTGATAAAAATAATCTGAAAAAACCCTACAGCTAACATCACACTTGATGTTAAATAAACAATACTTTTCTTCTAAGGTAGGGAACGAGTCAAGGTTGTCCACTGTGACCGCTCTCCTTCAACATAGAAGTCCTAACCAGCACAGTAAGGCAAGAAAAGGAAATTAAAAGCTTACAGGTTGGAAAACCCCCTCCTGGAGCTAATAAGGGAGTTCAGCAAGATCCTAGGTTACAAAAGCAACACACAAAAGAAATTATCCAGAATACAGCAGAGAACAACAAAAAAATGAAAGAAAGACAGTGACTGGGGATGAGGGAGGTACAAGAGGACTAAATGGTAATGGGGAAAAGATGCAATAAAGATTAAATTTTTAAAAAGGCAGGGACAAAAAAGAATCAAGGATTGTTATATTTACATTCCAGAAGGAGAGAGAAAATGAAGCAGAGTCATATCTAAAAAAAGATAGCTAAGAATTTCCCAGAACTGGTGGATTTCCACAGACTGTAGAAGCCCAAAGAAGGGAGAAATGAGGGAGGGAGGGAAGGAAGGAAGGAAGGAAGGAAGGGAGGGAGGGAAGGAAAGGAAATCCTACCTAGATTCATGAAAGTGAAGTACGCAGAACCTTGAAAAATGGAGAGAGCTGAGGCTGGAGAGGTAAGGGGCCAAGTGAAAACAAAGTTGTAAGAAGACTGGACTTAATGAAAAAAGCTAACAGTTAGGCAGTATTATTACTGGCCAGGCCCAGATAGACCTGCAGTGATTTACCCCTCCCAGCAATTGTATTAGGTAAGTACTATTATTACATCCATTTTACAGATGAGAAAGTTGAGAAAAGTTTGGTTACTTGCCCAAGGCGGCACAGCTTTCAGTGGCAGATGTAGGATTTAAAAAAGAAAAATTCTGTTTGTTTTTTTAAAAATCCTTGTCCAAGAATATGCTTATTGATTTGAGAGAGAGAGAGAGAGAGAGGTGGATCTGTTGCCTCCCACACACACCCCAACCCGGGTCAAACCGGCAATCTAAAGGCAACCTGCACATCATGCGCTGACCCAACCTCTCAGAGCACAGTAAGACGCTCCAACCAACCGAGCCCTGGGGCCAGGTCTAGAGGTAGGATTTTGAACAAGGTAGTTCTGCCTCCAGTTTATAGAGTCAGGTACTAGGTACGGCTACCCACGACACATACCGCACCTAGTACCTGACTCTATAAAGGGCAATGGGAAGCCATTGAAAGGTTAAAACCAAGGGAAAGACACATGTTTTCCAGACACATTATCTTGGCACCACTGTGGATTATGGATTAAACGCAGCTAAGTGTGGAAACAGGAGTCTATTGGAACAATGTAGCTCCAAATGAACGAGGGAGGTGGTAGAAGCAAATGGATTTGCAGGGTCTACCAGGCCAGGGGACTTGGTTTTGGACGGGATCGAGGGGTGAAAGAGAGTTTTCTCACTTGGGCTATTATTCGGTGGACAGTGAAAGTCATTCACTGAAGGGACTTAGGAGGAGTCTGGTTTGGGTACTGTGAGTTTGAGAAGCCTGTAATGATCAGCCATCCACGAAGAGCAGAAACGCCTGTAGCACTACAATCCGAGAGTCCCACCACTAGGGTCCCCCAGGCAGCGCGCGCGAGCCAGAGGCCCAGAGCGCCGCGCGGCCAGCGTCTCCAGTAGCCTCGTGCGCAGGCGCAGGGAGGCACGGGTGCCCCCTGGCGGGCGGCGGCGCGGAGGGACCGCCCCTGTCCGGCGGTGCGGCTGCCCGCCTTAGCCCAACATGGCGATGCATAACAAGGCTGCGCCGCCGCAGATCCCGGACACCCGGCGGGAGCTGGCGGAGCTCGTGAAGCGGAAGCAGGAGCTGGCGGTGAGGGGCTAGCACCAAGAGAGTCCGGATGGGGGCCCCCTGCCTGCCCTCGCCTCCAGGCCCCAGCTCAGCAGCGGCAGGCCGTTACTTGGCGGGCGCTGCGCTGCGGCGGGGAATCCGGAGGCCTGAAGCTGGGCTGCGCATTCTGCGGCCCGCCGGCGCCTTAGCTTCCCGGCTGTGCGGGAGCCGGGGTCAGGGGCTAGGCGCCGAGCCGGAGGGTGGGGGAAGGGGGACTGAGAGGGCGGGAGGGGGTGCGGCAAGGGGAAGCGACGGCGCCTGGGGCTGTGGGGCTTCAGTGTGGCAGCGCTGCAAAGGCGAGTGGCTGAGAGCTTTGGGGGTGGGTGAGGGCGGGTGTGTCGGTAGGCTGTAGGAGATTGGTTCGGGCGTGCAGGTGGGCTTCGGTGGGGCGGGGCAGGAGGCGGCTGTGGGAGGGGGACTCAGCCATCCATCTGGTCCTTGGAGGATAGAGGGGCGCGTGTTCTTTTGGGGGCTAGGAGTAGATTCATTGAATGGGATTTCTGATGGGCAGGGATGCGATGTGTTTGGGAACGTCTAGAAGGTGACAGGCGAGAGGAGCGGACTCCGTCTAGGGAATTAGGAATTGTGACAGGCACCCAAGACCTCATGCACCCTGGTGGCTAAGCCCTCTTTGCCTCCCCGGGCTTGGTTGGGCACCTGGGAGCCCATCTAACCTGAAGCCCTTCCAGGTTTCCATAGCAACTGGCTGTCCAGCGGAGGCGGCCCTTCTGAGCGAAGAGGAGTGAGTTGGCTAGCAATAGAAGGCTGCTCACCCTACCTTTATGCATGGGAGGGGAGTCTACATGAGCAGACTTGAGTTTCCATGAACCCTCTGAAGTAGATACAAAATTCTGTATATGTATGCATTTTTCAGGGGACAAGCTATGTTCCATTGTATTCTCAAAGGGATCCAGCAGGACAGTTCTAGACTGTCTTAATCTGCTTGTCTCTCCCGGTATCATCCATCTCTCCACAATGTTGGTTTAGTGTATTTGTGCTTGAGTAGCAAGCACTAAATCTAGTAGCAAGATTTCAGTTTGGTCAGACCTGACGCTCGTGTTTAAGAGGCAACATCCATTTCCTTGTTTTTCATCTCTCAGGAAACGCTGGCGAACTTGGAGAGACAGATCTATGCCTTTGAAGGAAGCTACCTGGAAGACACTCAGATGTATGGCAATATCATTCGTGGCTGGGATAGGTATCTGACCAACCAAAAGTGAGTGTCAGAAGCCTGTGGTGTTTGTATTGCGACCTACTGATACTTGTTTTAAGGATCGTGTTAGTTTTTGGTAGCAACTTTGCAGGGAGGCAGTGTATAGTATGTGGTAGTATGAAAAGAGGTTTGGGCTTGGGCTTGGACCCTGGCTCAGCCTTAGCCTCACTGAGTAATCCTAAGCAAATCCTACATCTGTAGAACAGGGAAAGTCCCTCCTATGGCACAGGTATGTGTAATTCCTTACACAACAATGGCCTGTTAGTGTTTTCCACGTTTGAATCAGTCATGATGAGTTCTACCCTCACAGTATTTGCCATACTTAGTGCCAGCTGCACCCCCATTTATTTACGTATTTCAAGTACTTTATTTATTTATTTATTTATTTATTTATTTATTTATTTATTTAGAGAAGAAGGGAGGGAAAAAGAGGGGGAGCGAGACTTTGACCTGCAATTGGTCGGCTCTCACACGCCCCCAGCTGGGGATTGGACCTGCCCGTTTGCCCTGAATGGGAATTGAACCTGTGACCTTTTGATTTGCAGGCCAGCACTCAATCCACTGAGCCACAACAGCTAGGGCCACCATTTGTTAGTAATTATATTCTTGAAATCTTTTTAAACTTTTAGAAATTTTTAAAATCTATAGAAAATGGAATGAATAGTATATGAACACCTGAGACCCTCCACTGTAATTCATCAGTTGTTAACTTGTTGCCACATGTTTCCTCTCTCACTTCTCTCTATTACGTAGATCGACACACCCAGCTGTATCTATGTTAAGATTTTTTTTTTTAATTTTTGAAATAATTGTAGATACATAGGCAGTTACAAAAGTAGTACAGAGAGGACCCATGGCCCTTCACCCAGTTTTCCCCATTGGGTTTTATGTAACTATAATATCAAAACCAGGAAATTGGCGTTAGTATTTTGTGTGTACTTCTGCCACTTCTAAGTGTGTAGATTCCCATAACCACCACTGCAGTCAGGACACAGAACTGGGCTGTCACCACAGGGGTCTCTGGTAGGCTACCCCTGTGTGGTTCTATCTCCTCTCTCTCCCTAGACTTTCTTGGGGTTTTTCTTGCTCCCCCTATTAAAGTTAGAAGGAGATTTCATGGCACATTGCCCCTAAGTATGTCAGCAGTTACATCCTCTAAGATTAAGAACATTTTTCTTACCTGGCCATAGTTATGCTGAGAAAATTAGCACAACATTAATAGTATCAGTTTAATGTACAGCCATTATGAAAATTTCCCTCATTGTCCCAGCATGCTGTGCTACCTTATTTTGATCTAGACAGAGTTGTTCATTGCGTTAGCTATGCTGTTTCTTTAGTTTCTTAAAGTAGAAGAAAAATGAACTTCTAAATTAATGACAACGTCACCACCTTTTTGATGGTGAAGCTGTCTTAGGATGTTATCTTGTAGAATGTCCCAATTCTACATTTTTCTTATTGTGACCTCACGAGAGAGCCTTTAAACATTTCTGACGGAAATGTTGCATTAGTGGTTTGTGTCCCTCTTGGTCATTGCTGTTTTATCAGGAGGCACGTAATGTCAGATTGTGCCATTACGGGTGCTGCTGAGTGTGACCACGTGATTTCCCCATTGCAAAGTTTATTCCTTTTCTTTTAAATTAACATGTAAGTTTGGAGTTTATACTTTTAGACGGTAGGAATATACTGCTCCCCCTGCCCCCATTTTTATTTGGTGGTTTTAGTCTACATTGTTCATTCCTATCAGAATAAGTTATTATACTGGAAGTTGCAAAATGGTGACTTAATTTTACTAGTTTCTTTACATTTATTACTGGTGTACTGAAAGAAGAGCCTTTCCTTTTTTTTTTTTTTAATTTAAGGATTTTATTGTTTTCAAAGAGAGGGGAAGGGAGGGAGAAAGAAAGGGAGAAAAACATTAGTGTGTGGTTGCCTCTTATGCAACCCCTGCTGGGGACCTGGCCCAAAACCCAGGCATGTGCCCTGACTGGGAATCGAACCAGCAACCTTTCAGTTCACAGGTCAGCGCTTAGTCCACTGAGCCACACCAGCCAGTACTATCTCTTCCCTTTCATCTTCTCTATCTCTGTTTCTCATTAATATCACTATAGAGCCCTGGCTGGTATAGCTCAGTGGACTGAGCACAGCCCTGAAAACCAAAGGATTGCTGGTTCAATTCCTGGTCAGGACACATGCCTGGGTTGCAGGCCTGGTCCCCAGGAGGGGGCATGAGAGAGGCAACTACACACTGATGTTTCTCTCCCTCTCTTTCTCCTTTCCTTCCCCATTCTCTAAAAATAAATAAATAAAGTATTTTAAAAAATCACTATAGACTCATGGATTTAAAAAAAATTAGTGTTAAAATCTAATATTGTCACTTTTTTATTATAGAGGTTTATTTTCAGTATAAATTAATTTACTGATGTGTAGACAGAAAAGTGTACAAATTGTAAATATATAGCTCAGTGACTTTTCACGAAGCTGACACACCCATCATCCTTCTTGATGCTCAGTTTATCCCAAACTTGGCAGGAGGGAGCCCCCTGAAGACAATTCCTTTGTCCTTTTGACAGAATTCTATTAGTCTGAGTACATTGTCCCCCTTTCTGTCACCTTTTTCTTGTCCCCAACCATTTTTCTAAGGAACCCAGGTTTTTCCTTTAAATTTTCAAAGTTAAAAAAAATTAAGTTTGTTTAACAGAGATACTTCATATCACTGGTCTACACTAGTTGTTTTTAAGTCATTAATATATACACCTATGAAAATGATCATGAAGCAGCTGAAGCAGCCTCATGCTCGGGAGCGAAGGCATTGCTGTGTACACAGGCGTTCAGCACCGAGGTCCCTCTGGCCAGTCTGCATGGTGTGGGGGGAATGAAAACATAACGAATTCCGCACGCGTTCCCTGAGACACCCGCAGCTTGAGCCACAGACAGAGCCTGGTGCTTATAATGAATCCTCGTGTGTGTTTTAGAAACTCCAACAGCAAAAATGATCGCAGGAACCGGAAGTTCAAGGAAGCCGAGCGGCTCTTCAGCAAATCCTCGGTTACATCAGCAGCCGTAAGTGGCGTGGGTGGAGGGAGCCCTGCGTGGTTGGGGAAGGCGTCAGTTCCATTTCTGTGCCTTTCCTCGACCCCTCCTGTCTGTAAGAGCTCGCGAAGGTCCGTGACGATTTTTCTAGTAACTAGTGGTTTTTTCTTTTAGGCAGTAAGTGCGTTGGCAGGAGTTCAGGACCAGCTCATCGAAAAGAGTAAGTTTATGTTGTTACTTTTTCATCAGTGTATTTGGAAGCTACCATGGTTTCTCCCTTTACCGCCTTTCCCAACTGTGTATCTGAAGACTGCATCTCTTAATGCTCTTGTGTCTTCTTTCTAGAAGTCCTTCCTTCTGCCACTTTTGTCACAGGAAGGGTGATGTGAGCTGCTCAAAACCAGAAAGATGTGTCTTCACTCCTGATAAGTCTTAGGGAATTTTTTTTAAAGTTAAAAAAAACCCCACTTTTATCATGAAAAATTTTAGGCATACCCAGTAAATCCCCATAGATCCAATTTAATTTTCAGGAAATTCTGACCCTGCAAACAGAATGTACCTGTGTGTTCTGAACTATAAAATGGGGAGTAGACCGTATTTACTTTGTAACAAACCTTGTCACTTCTTGTGAGCCATGCAGTGCAATTCTGTTCTAATTCCTAGTGATGGGATATAGGCCCGCACACTTGCTGAGTCGGACTCTGTGTGGCGGCGTGTTCTCCCTGTGCCCTGGGTCACTGGAACTTGGCCTCCTTTTCGTACTGTGGCCACGGGCTTCTTTCAGGTGGCACGGCTCACCGTGCGGTCCAGGGTTCGCTTTGGGGCAGTGGTATGCGGAAGAGGGATTTTGGTAGTTTGCAAATTAGGGCGTCTCGGCTACTTCCATTAATATCTCTGTGCAGATTTCTAAATTTATAACTCTGTCCTTAACCCCTTTCCTGAGCTTTAGTGGTACATTTACTAGAAAAGTTCTGGAAAATGCCTTCTGCATGTTTCCATTCAGATATTCAAATGCAGACATTCTGTCTAAAGCTGAGCTGTTCTGTTTCCTTCAAAACACGTCCGCCCAGTTTTTCTGTTTAGTACTTCTCCACTCAAAGCTTCGTAGACGTTTTTATTCCTTTTTCTGCCAGCCTAATCCATCGTACCAAGTCCTTTTGATTTTTCTTTTGCTATCAGTTAAATCTTGTGTCTTCTCAGTTAATGCCACTTGTAGAATGTAAGCCCATTTTATCTGCTTTGTGGAGCAGGAAGACTGGTTAAGGAAAATGCTTGGTCTCGCCCTTGTGAATTGAGGCAGACTCCACTCCTTAGGTTCGTGTTTACAAGAATCTCTCATCCTGCCCCTGGCTTAGCAGAGAGTTTGGTATATGGCTCTGCACCTAATTATTCACACGGAGTAGCGGTGTCTCCATACTTCCTTTCAGGAGCTCGACTGGGACAGGTACTTAGGTATTCAAGGTCTTCTGAAGCATACGTAGACCATCCGTCACCCCAAGGTCTTCCTCCTGGATTGAGCCTCGTCTCTGCAGCACATCGTAGTAGTATTCTTTGGTCTTCCCTATAAAGTTACATTTGGTCATATAAAATGTGTCTCTGTGTATTGTAAGAGGATGTTGCAAATGTTATTATCATTCTTTTTTCAAAGATTTTATTTATTTATTTTTTAGAGAAGGGAAGAGAGGGAGGAAGAGAGGGAGAGAAATGCCTCTCACACATCCCCTACTGGGTACCTGGCTTGCAACCCAGGCACGTGCCCTGACTGGGAATCTACCCGGCAGCCCTTTGGTTCACAGGCCTGCGCTCAGTCCACTGAGCCACATCAGCCAGGGCTATTTATTTATTGCTTTTTAAAGAGAGGGGCAGGGAGGGAGAGAGAGGGAGAGAAACAATGATTGGTTGTGTCTTCTGTGTGTCTCGTCTGGGGTCTGAACCCGCAACCTAGACATGTGTCCTGACGGAATCAAACCTGACGGAACCTTTCATTGTATAAGCTGATGCTCCAAGCAACTGAGCCATGAGGTCAGGGCTTATTATTATCCCCTATAGGAATAGTTATTTTTCCTGAGGGACTAGTTGTTTTTCTACTGCAAATCATATAATTGACTATTTCCCACTTTGCATGGGTGCTAAATGCCTAAAGCCAGATTTGTGGTACCCCTCTGGAAAGCAAACATGAATTTATAACATGCGTCGTGGGACTGAATCTTAGTACTGTATCCAGCTTATTTTCCTCTTCTATTCCTCTTTGCTTTATCTCATTTTAAATTTGACTGGATTTCATTATGTAAACCTTGGCAAGCTGCCTTGAGTTCTTTCTGGAGTAAAGCAGACTATAGAGAATTACATGAGTTCTGGAGTTCATGAATCAAAAGGTCAGAACCCCTTTAAAATAATTACATTGTGCCTTGGCAGGTGTGGCTCAGTGGATTGAGTGCTGGCCTGAGAACTGAAAGGTCTCAGATATGATTCCCAGTCAGGGCACATGCCTGGGTTCTAGGCCAGGTCCCTGATTGGGGGTGAGCGAAAGGCAACTAACTGATCCATATATTTCTCTCAAAACGATGTTTTCTCTCACTCTCTTTCTCTCTCTTCCTGTCTCTCTAAAATAGATAAATATATAATTTTAAAAACCATCAAAATTGGTGAATTTTTGTGTAGCTGTTTTAGTATTGAAGATGGAAGAAAATATGCAGTATTTTTGGCATATTATGCTTTATTATTTCAAGAAAGGTAAAAATGCAACTGAAATACACACAAAAAAGATTTGTGCAGTGTGTGGAGAAGGTGCTGTGACTGATGGAACATGTCGAAAGTGGTTCATGAAGTTTTGAACTGGAGATTTCTTACTGGATGGGTGGACCAGTTGAAGTTGGTAGCCATCAAATTGAGACATTCATTGAGAACAATCAACATTCTGCCACATGGGAGAGAGCTGACGTGCTTAAAATATCCAAATCAATAGTTATTGGTGAAAATAAAAATGTCTTTTATTTTTATTTATTTTTTTAAAAAAGATTTTATTTATTTATCTTTAGAGGGGAAGGGAGGGAGGGAAGGAGAGAAATATCAGTGTATGGTTGCCTCTTCGTGCATCCCATGCTGGGAACTGGCCTGCAACCCAGGCATGTGCCCAGACTGGGAATCGAACCGCGATCTTTTGGTTCACAGGCCTGCATTCAATCCACTGAGCTACATCAGCAGGGCAAAATGTCTTTTATTTTATAGAAAAAAACTAAATGGACTTTTTGATCTCTTTTTATCTCTGTACTGCATTATGAATATTTTTTTCTCATCTGCCAGTTCCTAAAATTCTTTTCAATTAAATCAGATTTGTTGTTAAATCTTCCCTTGATTTTAATTCTTTTGTTATTACAATCTTATTTCCATAAATTCTACTTAATTATTTTTAAAATCTGCTATGCAGCCGTGGCTGGTGTGGCTCAGTTGGTTGGAGTGTCATCCTGTAACCTGAAAGGTGGCAGGTTCAGTTCCCAGTCAGGGCACATGCCTACGTTGCAGGTTTGGTCCCCAGTCAGGGCGCGTAGGAGAGGCAACCGATCGCTGATTCTCTCCCTCCCAGCCCCTCTCTCTAAAAATCAATAAGCATGTCCTCATGTGAGGATAAAATACATAAAAATAGAATCTGCAATGTAACTTTTCAATAGCTTTCTCTGCAGTTATTTTCAAACTGGTCTATTACCTCTTTAAGTGTAGTAAGTACAGTTATTCTGTAGTCTGTAATTTCACTTTGTGAACTCCTTGATGGCCTGTTTTTGTTCGTTGTTTCTACTGGTCATTACTCATGAAATCTAGCCTCCCTGTATGCTTGTTTGTCTTTGAGCACTGCTCTTATTATTTAAAAGTATTCGTAGAATAATTGGAGGGCTAAGATGAAGGTGCTGTGCTGTCTTCCAGAGAAGACTTAATATTTGCTTCTGCAAGGTGCGTGGGCCTCTTTAAACCAAGTTCAAGGTTCGGAGTCCCTGGATGACTCTGGTGGTTCAAACTAAGCATTAATTCCATGAGAGGTGTGGTCTCTGTTGCCTTTCGTAACTTTTCCTTTGTGTAACAAATCTTGTGGGATGATTTCTCTATTTTTGATCTTAGGCGGCAATGAAGGGAACATCCTTTTTTCTTAGAATTCTGACTTGCATGTTCTTGGATCTCAAGGATTTTAGAGTTTTGTGCTTTTGGCATTTTACTTTTAAACTGTTTTGAAAAATTTCCTCAAATGCATTACATTCTGCCTCGCTGGCTTCAGATGTACCCAAACTAGAATAACAAAGTGGGTCAGCATGGCTGTAAAGGGGGATTTTATGCAGATTAGTGAAGCTTTTTTTTTTTTAAAGAATAAGAGAAAAACAAAATAGGCAGATTTTACCCAGTTTCCTTTAAAGGATCAGCACAGTTCCTACGGTTGGTTCTCCTGCACGACGCTGGCGCTGGCCACGACGCAACGACTCGTGTCTCCCCTCTGCTCTCGCGTCCTTCTGGCAGGCGACCTGCTGCTGCTGCTGCTGCTGCTGCATCCTGCCGCTGCTGCTCCTCCTGCATCCTCCCGAGCGTCCTCCTTTTCCCCTTTAAGTGTTTAGTGCTGGTCCCAAGTTACTGCCTTGACACAATAGCTATTCCTTTCTTTTCATGAGTACAGTGTCTTATTTGTGGATTCATTAATCAAAATCTGGTGTCCTTCGCTCTAGAAATGGGCTGCTCACTGCTTTGGCAGTGAGCAGCAGACCCGTGTGTCTTCCCACGGTGGCAGCGCCCTCCTGTGGGCTGACTCGCTGCTGCGCTTTCAGGTGTCACCACCCAGCCCTTCTGCCATCAGTCCCCTCCTGCTTCCCTGAGCCCAGGAAGAAAATTACTCTTCCTTTGTGGTCTCACTTTGTATTTTGACAGGGTTTAATTTAGTCTCCCGGGCTCAAGTCCCTCTTATAAACCACTTCTAGCCTAATAATCCTAAAACACGGATTTGTGCAGAGAACTCCATAAATATTCATTGTTGGATGTCGCTTCTTTATTCAGACATTCTTGATGTCTTGGCCACGTTGTGTCCTGCTGACAGCTGTTTTACTGCAAAAGGTCTTTGCTGTTTGTTTAGAATGTGACTTGAATGCTTGTAGATCTTGGGGATATTGAGATTTGAACAATTACTGTGTTGCTGGCACTAAGCAAACACTTTACTTACATTATCTCATTTAATCCTTGAAGCTACTCCTTGAAAATGGGAAACGCTGTGGTAGGCCCACTGTTTAGCCCAGCGCCTCATTCGTAGGAGATACTCGATAGAGGAAAGAAAGGATTCTCCCATTACAGATAGGGTCACAGGCCGAGGAAGGTTAAGCCACAGTCAGTTCTCTTAAACCTCACGTTATCCTGTCTCCCTGGATAAAGTCCTTTACTTACCGTGACGTTGACGAGTTCTCTCAACCTGCTATTCCATTTCACCTCATTTCTCAGGTTCTCTGTTTAAATGATGTTTGATTCACTGGTCCCAGATATACCCGTGTTCAGATACACCTGTGTTTTCTCACCTTTACACTTTTGCTCGTGCAATTTTTGGTGCTTATTTTGGCTTCTCATTTTTAAGGTTCAGTTTACATTCTGCTCCTTAAATGAAGCTTTTCCTGCTCACTTTGGCAGCACACGTTCCAAAATTGGAACGATACACAGGAGATTAGTGTGGCCCTGCACTAGGATGACATGCAAATGCACGAAGCAGTCCATTTTGTTTTGTTTTTTTAAATATATTTTATTGATTATGCTGTTACAGTTGTCCCATTCCCCCCTTCACTCCCCTCCACCCTGCACACCCCCTCCCACCCACATTTCCCCTCTTTAGTGCAGGTCCATGTGTCATAAGTTCTTTAGCTTCTACATTTCCCACACTACTCTTGCCCTCCCCCCGTCTATTTTCTCCCCACTGTCTATGCTACTTACTCTCTGTACCTTCTCCTTCCTTCTCCTTCTCCCACTCCCCTGTTGCTAACCCTCCATGTGATCTCCATTTCTGTGGTCTTGTTCCTGTTCTGGTTGTTCACTTAGTTTGTTTTTGTTTTTGTTTTAGGTACGGTTGTTAATAATTATGAGTTTGTTGTTATTTTACTGTACATGTTTTTAATCTTTTTCTTAGATAAGTCCCTTTAACATTTCATACAATAAGGGTTTGGGGATGATGAACTCCTTGAACTTGATCTTATCTGAGAAGCACTTTATCTGTCCTTTCATTCTAAATGAAAGCTTTGCTGGATAGATCAATCTTGGATGTAGGTCCTTACCTTTCATGACTTGGAATACTTCTTTCCAGCCCCTTCTTGCCTGTAATGTCTCTTTTGAGAAATCAGCTGACAGTCTGATGGGAACTCCTTTGTAGGTGACTGTCTCCTTATCTCTTGCTGCTTCTAGGATTCTCTCCTTCATTTTAATCTTGGCTAATGTAATGATGATGTGCCTTGGTGTGTTCCTTCTTGGGTCCAACTTCTCTGGGATTCTCTGAGCTTCCTGGATTTCCTGGAAGTCTATTTCCTTTGCCAGATTGGGGAAGTTCTTCTTTATTATTGGATCAAATAAGTTTTCCACTCATGGCTGTTCCTCTTTTCCTTCTGGTACCCCTATAATTCGGATGTTGGAGCATTTAAAGATGTTCTGGAGGTTCCTTAGCCTCTCCTCATTTTTTTGAATTCTTGTTTCCTCATATTTTTCTGTTTGGTCATTTTTTTTCTTCCTTTTGGTCCACGCCCTTGATTTGAGTCCCAGTTTCCTTTCCATTAGTATTGGTTTCCTGTGTATTTCCCTTCATTTCAATTAGTTTAGCCTTCATTTGTTCCTCTAATTTGTGACTAAAATCAATGAGTTCTGTGAGCATCCTGATCACCAGTGTTTTGAACTGTGTATCTGATAGGTTGGCAATTTCTTGTTCGCTTAGGTTTATCGGCTCTGAGGCTCTGAGTTCTTCTTGAGCCATGTTTTGGTCTGTTTGCCTGTGCGCCTGTTACATGTGAGGGGAGCCTCAGGTGTTCACCATGGCGGGGCCACCCAGGTCACTGGGTTGTGAGGCTGTATGTGGGGGCGGGGTCAGAGAGGGACAATGGCGGTCCCCTCTGTTGCTTCCTGCCACCGTGGCCTGCGCCATCTGTCTCACTGCTTGCTCCTTCGCCTGGTTAATCTGCGCACGAATGTGTGACTGCAACCAGCCTGCCACCTTGCGCCCTCAGTGGGTCCGCCCACTGCTACTCCACACCTGGGATCTGCCCACAGCTGCCTGCAACTTTGGGTCTCTCACACCTGGGTCGGTCCAGTGGCTCTTTCCTGCCCGACCCCACTCTGCTGCTGGCTCTGCCCCTCTTACCAGTCTGGCTGAAAGGTTTGTTGTTGTCAAACTTCCGTATAGTTCAGTTTTCTGTGGCTTGGCTGTGTTTTTGTTGCTAAAACTTTGTTGTTTTTAAACTTGGTTGTGCGAGAAGGCACAGTGTTTCCACCCACGCCTCCATTTTGGCAGAAGTCTCTTCATTCTTTTCTGATTAGATGTTTCTTTCTTCCTTTTGGTCCCAGTTTTGACACCATTGATTTGAGTCCCAGTTCCGTCCCATCACTGTTGGTTCCCTCTACATTTTTCTTTATTTCACTTAGTGTAGCCTTCATTTTTTCATCTAATTTGCAACCAAATTCAACCAATTCTGTGAGCACCGTGATTACCAGTGTTTTGAACTGTGCATCTGATAGGTTGGCTACCTCTTTGTTGCTTAGTCATGTTTTTTATGAAGCTTTGATCTATTCTTTCATTTGGGCCTTTTTTTTTTTTTTGTCTTGATGCACCTGTTACATATGAGGGGTGGAGCCTTAGGTGTTCCCTGGGCGGGGCAACCCAGTCACTGGGTTGTGATGCTATATATGGGGGCGGGGGTCTGAGAGAGAACAATGGTGCTTGCTGTGCTCTCTGCCAGTTTTCAGTGCCTCTGTCGCTTCCCCCAAGCAAACTGGGCCCTTCTGCTACTGGTTCTGGGTGGGTGGGTCTGTGTATGTTCTAGGACCCTGTGGGTCTCTCCAACAAACCCTCCCATGAGGCTGGGAGTCTCCCGCTGCTGCCTCCACCCTCACAGATGTTTTCAGTCATCTGTGGTTTGAGACTTTATTTCTGGGCCCTGGGGCCCCGTCCCACTCCCCAGTTTTGCTTGATTTATCTGCTCGTGAATGTGGGACCACTTGGTCTGCCAGCTGCCTTGCCTACCACACCCCTCCACGATCCCACACCCCTCCACGATCCCACACCCCTCCACGATCGCCGCCTCACTGGGTCTGCCAGCCACTACTTTGCTCTGAGTCCTCTGTGCCCCGGCTGCCTGACTCTGCCCCTCCTACAGGTCTGGATGAATGTTTCTTCTCTAACTCTGGTTGTCGGAGTTAAATATAATTCGATTTTTCTGTCAGTTCTGGTTGTTTTTTGTTTTCAAATTGTTGTTGTCCTTATTTTGGTTGTGCGAGGAGGCACAGTGTGTCTACCTATGCTTCCATCTTGGCAGGAAGTCTTCCATTTTGTTTTTAAAGGGAAAAAAATGAGGCTTTTTCCTGAATAACTCACTCCTTTTCTCTGGGACATCGGTTACTACCTGGCATGTTACTGTCACCACTCACAGGGCTTTGATTTGATATGCACAGTTTCAGCTTAAAGAATATGACCACTGCATCTGCTTATGCAGAGCTCCGACGGCATCGGCCCCTGGGAGGTGAATAGTGCGTTGCTCACCAGTGTCCTTTAACTGAATTGCCTGTCAAATGCAGAAGGGCTGGATTAGTCAACATGCCTTTGTTGAAAATCAGTCAATCATAAATGGTAAAGGTTTTTAAGGTCTGTCCAGAAGGTATCCAGCCATGTAATATGAAAAATAGACTTATTGAAGAAGATACAAAGTACAAGAAACATTGTACACAGGACAGTGACACCTCAGTCCCCTTTAAAGTGGGCATCTTGGGATCTCACACAGTTCTCCCAGTTGCTATCAGCTGCCTCATTGTATTTTCCTGAATCTTATCGATGGTCTGAAATCTCTTCATTTTTAACATTGATTTTAGTTTTGGGAAAAGCCAGAAGTCACAGGCCACCAAATCTGGGCTGTAGGGGGCTGAGTCACCTGGGCGATTTTACGTTTCACCAAAAAACTGCACAACATGTGATGTATGAGTGGGTGTGTTGCCATGATAAAGCTGCTACTCGCCGGCTGCCCATAGTTGTGACTTTCTGAATCATCCGAATAGTTTCTGTAGAGGAAATGCAAAGTTTCTGTAATGCAAAATTGGGTGCAGTTATTTTGCTCTATTCGCTCAGTCGTTTTGAGTGTGACAGCCACACAGTACACGTGCTCGCTCAGTGGCATCTACCACCCCCACTGACCAGTACAGTGAAGTCGTCATTGTTCACACGTGCATTCCGGTCCACTCTCCTTGGCTGCCAGGTTACATCGATGTTGCACAAACTGTTATCATTATATTAATAATGGCTGGACTTTTTCTGGACAGACCTCCTCTATCCGGCCTCTGAACCCTCCTCTCTGGTTCTGTATGTCTCTTCTTACGCCAGTGCCATGTGGTCTTGGTTACTGTAGTTTTATGTGGTAAGTATTAAAATTCTTTTGCTAATTTTTGTATGAAATCTATTTTCCTGAACTAGAAACACCAAGTTGGTTAATATACTTTTTCTAGCCTTGGCTGGTGTGGCCCAGTGGATTGAGTGCCAACCTGCAAATCAAAGGGTCACCGGTTTGATTCCCAGTCTAGGGCACATGCCTGGGTTGCGGGCCAGGTCCCTGGTTGGGGGTGCGCGAGAGGGAACCACACATTGATGTTTCTCTCCCTCTCTTTCTCCCTCCCTTTACTGCTCTCTAAAAATAAATAAAGTGTTTTAAAATTTTTTTTTAAATGTATACTTTTCTAGCTTCATAGTTCTAGAGCTCCCTCTTCTGTTGCTTTCATGAAGTGTTCAAAAATAGGATTTCATTAAAAAAACAGGATTTTGTGATTTCTGCAATCTGGTTCTATTTCCCTTTTGATTTTGAGGGACCATCTCTTTCTTTTACTTCTTGAGTCCATGTGCTACTCAATGTGAAATCTCTTCGCAGCAGGTTATAATACGAAGACTTGAAAAGAGGAAAACTAGCCCCTGGTACTACCGTCTGCATAACCCCTTTTGACAAGTTTTAGAAACAGATAACGTACATATATGTTTAGCATCCTCCAACAGTTAAGTGTGAAAGGCTTAAACAATAATACATTTACCAAAATTTTATTTTATTTTTGGAGAGCAGGGAAGGGAGGGAGAAATAGAGGGAGAGATTGATGCGTGAGAGATACATTGATTGGTTGCCTCTCACACACCCCCAAAGGCCCCCAAGTGAGGACCTGGCTTGCAACCCAGGCATGTGTCCTGACAGAGAATCAAACCAAATCAAACCAAACCGCACCAAACCGGTGAACGGTGACCTTTCAGTTTGCAGGCAGGCCGGCACTAATGGCACTAAATCCACTGAGCCTTTATGACCTCTTTCTGACCTTTCAGTTCACAGGCTGCACTCCACTGAGCCACACTATATTTTTAGAGAGAGGGGAAGGAGGGAGAAAGAGAGGGAGAGAAACATCAATGTCATTGATTGATTGCCTGTAGTATGTTCCCCAACCTGGGATTGAACCCACAGCCTAGGTATGTACCCTGACTGGGAATTGAATCCCTGACCTTTTGGTTTATGGGATGATGCTCCAACCAACTGGACCTCATCCAGAGCTCATTGGTGCTTCTTATATATGCCCTGACCAGGGATTGAATCTGCAACCTTGATGTGTCAGGACAGTGCTTTAACTTACTGAGCTATCTGGCTAGGGCCAGATAACCTTTATGCAGTGAGTTATCCTGGTTCTGTTCCTATTTTCCAGCTGTCCTTTGATCTGTGGCCTCTGGTTACACTGTTTCCAATTATGTGTCAGGAACTCTAGTAACTGATACTTTGATTCTATGTATCTTTTTGTCATTTAGATGGTATGATAATGAGGATAGGAGTATAGTTTGCTTGTTTATTTTTCCCCTGAACAGGGTTCATTCCACAGAGGGCATGGGGCTCATTCCTTGGCTGTTGCCTTCCTCGTGGCTACAAGAACATTGCTCAGTTCTTCTCCCTTCCTCTTGGCTCAGATGTGTGTCCCCACCCTTTTCCTGGGCCCTCTTGTCCTTGGAGGCCTTGAGCAGCTTCGTGGTGTGCTGTTTATAGGAGGCAAAGCCATACACACACCTCCGAGATCATGTCCCGAGGGACCTTGGTGTTCTGGGTGAGGTGCCCCTGGCAGCAGCTGTGCCTCGGCCTGCTCGCGTTCTTTGCCACTTTGTGGTCCTTGTTGAGGCCCATGGCCGTGGGGCAGTGGAGAGCCGTGGCTGCTGCTCGCTCCTCCGTGGCTGCTGCGGGGGAAGCTAGTTAGTTTTTTAAAAAAAATATAGTAGTTCTCAAAAAATCTCTCCTGATGACAGATTGCCTGAGGAGTACTCATGGTGCTGCTGGGGCTTTGTGTTTATTCCCTCCAGGGGAGCCAGGAAGTGGGACGGAAAGTGACACTTCTCCAGACTTCCACAATCAGGAAAATGAGCCCAACCAGGAGGACCCTGAGGATCTGGATGGATCTGTGCAGGGAGTGAAACCTCAGAAGGCTGCTTCTTCCACTTCCTCAGGAAGTCATCACAGCAGCCATAAAAAACGAAAGAATAAAAACCGGCACAGGTCAGTGGCAGGGAGCGCCTCCCCCTGCCTCCCCGCCCCCCAGCCCACCCCCACCCTCCCAGACTTTCCGCGACCGTGGCCGTGCAGGGGCTTTACTAGAATGAAATCTCTTCAGCATTGATTTGGTCCTTCTGTTGCTGTTGGGAAGAAGTTCTGCTGGTCCCAAAGAAACAGACTAATTGAGGAATCGGTGGGAATGTGCACACCCAGGCAGAAGGGCCTCCTTCTCCCCGTTCCTAGTGCAGAAAAATTTTATTTCACAAAAAATTGGTTTTGGGCAGTGGATTTGGAGTGCTGTTCACAAAGTGGAAAAGGGAAGTGGAAATGGAGTCTGTGTAACAGTTTTTGAAAAATGTCACTATGTTTGGAAGCTGCCAAGTGGGTTGAAGTCCTTTGCTCTCAGTGCCGATCCCTGCCTACTCTTGTTTCCTCGTGAATGAAGAGAACTGATCTGACATGCAGTATTTTCTTTTTAAATATGCTTTCTTTTGTATTGCATGTGGTATCTCTGTTTTTGTGTCTCTGCAAAATGCTGATTTCAGATATCAGAGGAACAATGTAAAGTCTGTGAGCTGTGAGAGTACCTTCTTAGATAACATTTGTCACTGTGTTTTTTTGCAGTGCGCGGTGAGATAGGAATGACATCAGTGGACAGAGAGGCCAGGTGTTGCCCAAAGAGGGTTTTAGCATTGACTCCGCTTGGGGTTTGTATGATCATGCGAGGCCACTTATCTCAGGTCACTGGAAATTACACAGCTGCCTTCAGAGAGGGAAACGCAGTTTCCAAACGGAGAAGGCTTGGCCTGGCCTTAGACATTTTGGGAGGCCTGGAGGCCAGGCGACCAGGAGGTCGGGCTCTTCTCTGGCTCCCCCAGGAGCCCTCATGCCGAGGAGAGGAACGGGGGCCTGCAGGGGTGGGTGGGGCTCCCTGCGGTCCATTCTGCTTCTGGATCGGGTCACTTTGCACGTGGTAGGATTTTCCTTCCTGCACCCAAGGTGTTAAATTGTTAGCTCTGTGGGTGCAGCACATGGGAATAATGCAGTATTAACACTACTGGTTTAAGCCTCTTTGGAATCTGTTGATTCTTTCATCTGTTAAGAGTTTTTCTTGATGGGGGTGGTGGTTTTAGACTGCAGAAATAGTATTTCCTCCAGATTGTGGCTAAGGACTGCCAGCTTAGCATTTTTCTGCAAACCACAGATCACCAGGCCGATCTCACAAGCGCAGTAAGAAACAGTACAAATGACATATCGGTTCTTTTCGTGAGGCTGCTTGTCTGATCGCTGGGACGGGGCTGATGCTGGCTTATCACAAAGAGTAGCAGAGAACCACGCTCTTAAAAATATTTTTCAAAATTGTCGAGATGATTAAATGTCATGCCCTGTGTTGCTTTTATTAAATACACTCCAGTGTCATTTTATAATAGTAATGCTGCTTTTCCTATTTCAGTCTAGAGTAGGGGGAATTCCATTAACGTTTCTGGGACTTTTTTTGAATTACTGATGCCAATAGACACTCTGTAGATGGCTCTTGTTTATTTCAGGTAATACCTCATTTCCCTCTGACATGATTAGCTGCTGATAAAATAGAATCAGGCATTGAATTTAACTTCTTGCGGGTTCCTAGTAGATTTCTGTAGGGACTGCACTTCTTTCTACCCTTTTTTGTCCTGGCCCTGGAAGCTAACTCCTTCCAGAAAAATACTAGGATTTATGAAGATCTTTGTATTGTTTTTACAAATGGTGTTTTCTGTTTGGGAAGCAGGGTCCTTTGACCATTTCCCTGTTTTAATCTGCCTGAGCCTGCCCCACCGTGGCAGAGTGGAGCGGACCTACCCCCGTCTGGGGAAAGCAGGTGGAGTGTGCCTGACTGGCAGCTCAGTGGCCGGTTACGGCTCTCAGAGCCCTGCCATCTGTAGTCGGGAAGTGCACCTGGCCCCCAGCCTGCGCCCGACTGATGTCTGAGTGAGTGTGGCAGTGCGGGGCTGGGCGCGGCACTCTGTGCACGTTGTGAGCTCGCCCCGAGTGGCGCTGTTCGTCCTCTGGCCAGCCGCACCCGTGTGTTGGGATGAGGCCAGCAGCGAACCACTGCCACGAGCGTCTGAGTACCTGCTCTGTGCCAGGCATCGTCTAGTGGTGGGTGGAGCAAAATGGAAATAAATATGGTTCTTCAGCAAAAAGGAATAACTTCTGAATTTGTCCTCTTTAGGAATATGAAAATTTATCAGATAGTTTTTAGCATTCATAACTGATCACAATTCACTGTTCAGAATTTTTATATTTTACATCCTATCTGATTAAGTTTCAGTATCTCTAAAGAAAAAACGTTGAAATAATAACTTCCAGCCACTCTTTTAGGTTTTTATTTCCATGCCAAACTCCAGAACTCCTCTAGGTTGTCTGTGAAGTTGTCATTGGGTAGGTACTGTCCACTTGGTGAACAAAGTTAAGTGATGCTGAAAGTTAAATTTTCGGTGGTTCTTGGTTTGTACACTTACTTTATACTCTTTCCCAAGTGGCCCGGGTGCAGCTGCTGCACAAGGACATGGGTGCCGGGCTCACTCCCCCTTCACTCCCGCAGACACTGACTGGGAGGGGAAGAGCCGTTGGCGTGTTGTTCTACCGCCCTTGTGCAGTCGGGAGGTCGGAGCAGCGGGAGCCGGCGTTGTGCGAGGGGCGGGCGTTTGCTCGGGAGGCCCGCCCAGACCCCCGGCCCGTGGGCCTGGCGGCTTACGCGGCTTTCTCCTCGGATGGCTGCCCTCCGGGTCCCTGAGCCCTGGGTGCCTGTGGGTGTCAACTTCCCTTTGTTTTCATAGGGGTGCAGCCCTGATGTAAACAGTTAACTGCCATCACCAGTTCAGGCTCCGCAGTTTCTGGAACAAGACTCACCTGTCACTGAAGTGCATTCCACTCCTGGCTCCTAGAATGAGTGCTGTAGAAAAGGACCACGTTTAGAACCTATAACTCGTTTAGAACATGTGACTTGTTTCGAACATAATACTTGAGTTAAAAGTTGCAAAAAGTTTTTTAAATGTATGTTTTTATCTTTTGTTTTGCCGAGTTGTTGGTACTGTCTTCCAAGCGCCTTTCATTGTATGACTAAACCCTTCTTTTTCTGTTTCTGCTAACGCTCTGATTATATCTGTCATCACAATTAAATGTTCCCCAAGTCCTAACTCTGAGTCTGGCCGCTGACAGAAGGCCTGCAGGTACCTAGTTTTCTAATGAAATAACTTTTCCTTTCATAGTCTGCTCTTCTGATATGAAAACCATTGAGGGAAGGGACTCTCCCAACCACAAAATCTTTGATGCTTTGATGTTTGAAAACTGTATGGCTTAAGATTCTTAAAGCTGATTTTGTTTCTACAAATCTTGCTAGGGTGGCTAATTGACTAATTTATTCAATTAGTATATTAATCTCTATTGCTTTCTTCCTTTCAAATGCTGCCCCTCAGCCCGTCTGGCATGTTTGATTATGACTTTGAGTAAGTTTGACTTGCATTGGTGTTTGTGCTGTGTTGTTCAGTGTGTAGAGACCCGTATGCCTTTCCGAGACCTTTCTAACCCATAGTTTATCTGTTTAATTGTAGGTATGTATATTAGGTTAGGCTGGGAAGTTTTTTTTAAAAACAGAAAAACGTGATGGAGGTAACATTTTATTTAATAACTTCAGCAAAATTAAGTAAACTTCACTTTTATGCACTTTAATTGCTTTTAAAATAGATAACTTTTACTTTAATTCCTATTTAAATTGATTTTCTGGCTTTGCTTCATAAGGAGTTAATAGTTTAAGATCTTGATCTTTTGCTTTGGAAAGATTTAAAAATTGAAATTTGTTTAATTTCTCTTGTGTTTCATGCCCAGAAACACAAACTCCTAGTCTCTTTCCTATCCTGAATCTCGGTGTATCTCGGTGACGAGCAGCGATGCAGTTACAGAGCTAACACATGAACACAGAGCATGCCTTCCTGATTCAGTCTCTTTAATGTGTAATTTTGGAATAACTTTTAAAAATTGTATGGCTTTCATAACTGCTCTGTATTTCTTTTTGAGTCATAAGTTTGCCTTGGGGCAAGAGTATCTGCTCATTTTTTAAAAAATACTTGCTTAATAATATCTGGATAAACAGCTAAATATGACATAGTCTAATGAGAATGTGGATTTTACTTAACCAAATAGGCTTTGTTATAGCTTGTGCCTTATTCAGTAGCTGATTCTTGGATTCTTTTTCTGTAAATTACAATGCAAATGTTTTTATTTTTCCCCGCACAGGATTGATCTGAAGTTAAACAAAAAACCACGAGCCGTAAGTATCAGCCGGACCATTTCAGAGAGACCGGGAATTTGGTGGGTGATGAACGAGTGATGAGAAAAATGTCTTCAGAACCTGAGTGTCCCTCAGCTGGGATCACAACTCAAGTTTCGAAATCCGGGATGTCAGTCTGTGTGCACTTCAACTTCTAGGCGTTACTTAGTTTTTTTACATTGGAGAGAGAAAGGAGTTGCACATTTTTACTGAAGAAGCCTTCCCTTCCATTAACTAATGAAGTGTCAATATTAGTTTTTTGTCTCTGACTGGTGCGCTCAGGATGTCTGGTAATTAGGGCAGACTTGGTGTTTCAGTCCCTCTGTGAACTCAGAGGACGGGTCATTTTCAGATGTGAAATACTGTATATTACATTTGAAATAGAATCTTTGGCTACAGGGTAATCTCCTAACGGAGGTTGTTTATGAGATTTTTTTTTTGAAAGCTTCAAACCAGTGTTCTGCTGAGAATGAATTGGACTTCATTTTCTCTCTCTAGGACTATTAGAAGACTCATTCGTGCAGAAGCTTCCAGGCCGCAGCGCCTTGCCTCCCTCCTCCGGACTCACAAAGACACACCTCCCTTGCCCGAGTGCGTGGCTGTCCCGCTCTGCGTTCCCAGACCCAGTGCCTGTGACTGAGTAGTTCCTTCTGAAATGTGGTGACAAGTCATTTCCGTGAGACCACACCGGATCATTTGCTTTGTGTCATTTTTAGTAACAGAACTGCGGGGAGACCGTGACATGGTTCCAGTCCCAGCACGTTGCTGAGTCTCTCCCTTCCTGGAATGAACGTCTGCCCCCGAGACTGGCCGGCCTCAGCTGCATCTGTGGTCCCCGTCGAGAAATGTTCTCTGCTTTTGTGCTGGAAGGAGAGCAGAGGTCGCATTTCAGATGGAGGCTGTCAATACCGGGCATTTTCTTATTTCGTTTGTGTTTTACCATTTTTCTATTGTTTTTACCATTTTACTTTCTTTTGGGACTTTTTGTAATGACTTCGTACAGCTCATACCTTCCTGCGGACGTATCTAACAAGCTGTTTCGCAGAGTTGCCGATGTTCTTGAACGGAAAGTAGTCCGGGTCGCCAAAAATAAAATGGGGAACTTGGCTCTTTGGTTTTGCGCAGGGGAAAGGTAAAGTGTTTATTTAATGATTACCTCCCTGAACTCTTTCTGAATTGGAAGCAGTTTCCATGTTGAAGGAATAGAAAAAGCTGAAAAACATAAGTTTTAATCAGTCCTTTTAAAATATTTTTATTCTTTTATATAAATAAAGTATCACAGGGTTTGACTTCTCATGCTTTACTCTGAAACCTGAGGGGTTTTTTTTCACTTATTTATTTGTATCATGCCTTGTGGAAATTTTTTTCCCATCTTATCTCTCTCTGCTGGTATTGCCTGATTAAATAGTGCTTTAAAAATCACTAAGGCGTATGGAAGGGCTGAAAATTGCACCCAAGGCTGATAACACGCGGAGTTCTTGAACAGAGTGAAAGACGGGTCAGTGGGAGCTGGCAGTGCCCACGGGTCCCTGTTCTCACTGCGGGGCCGGGGAACTGGCTGATGGTGGTTAGCAGCCTCTGGAGCAGTGGTGCCCTCCCTCGGCTGCACGCTGGAATCACCTGGGAAGTTTAAAAAATACTGATGCCTGGGCCCCACCCCCAGAAACTCTGGGCTGGGGTACAGTCTCATGGTGGGGATTTCCTTTCCAAGACTCCCCGGGATTCTGATAGGAAGCCAAGTTGGGAATTACTGTCCTCTGCCCTGGGAGACTGGCTAGTGCGACTTAAACCCCGTGTTGTGACTCAGTCTTAGGGACGAGACTTGGGGGCCTCACCTCTCCTTTGACTCTATTTAGTCATAGTCCTTATGCCTATATCTCTGTTAGAAAAAAATATGTTCCATCTGTGATAATATTGGTAGAGCTGAATGTGGTGGCGTTGATTATCAAAACAATTCTACCTTGTCTGTGCAAAAGCTTTCACTCTTGTTCTCAAATAAACCTTTTTCTTCTTTTTTTTATTTTTTTGGAGTCTGTGGCTATTTAGATGTCTTTGGCTATATCTTTGGTAGCAGAACGCTAATGTCAGGGTCTGTAAGGAAATAGTTTATGTGCAGGCTGTTCCTTTACAAAATGACCAGCGGGAGCAGTGGAGACCACAAGCATCCGCACTGTGTCAGAGCGTCGTCTTTCCGGGAGGGCCGGGGGCGCCTGGGGGCTCCCTGGCTCCGAGGAAGGCACGTGGCGGACCTGCCAGCCACGGTCGTAGCTTGATGCTGGCCGGGGGCACAGCAGGGCTGCGTGTAAAAAGCCGTGTCACTCGGGCATGTCCGTGTGTGTGGATGCGCCCGTGTGTGTACGGTCACAGCCAGGCTGCGTGCTCTGTACTGACTTTCTCCATGGAGTTTTACCATCGATTAGGGGGAGCTCCCAGCATTCCTGGAAGCTGGCTGGGCATACTAGAGCTGCTCAAGTCCTAAGAGATGGCATAGGTTCCCTACATTGGGGTGGTGTAGAAAAAGGCACCAAGTGTTACCTTGCTGGTGTATCATGTTTGTTGTACTTGTGACCTCCAGTGTAAACTCCTGCACTTTGCCGTGTGCAATGCACTCCCAGGGTGTAATACGCAGCATGTTTTTGGCCCAAACTTTCAGAGGAAAAAAATCTTTTGTTTTCTTTTTAAAATATTTTATTTACTTATTTTTAGAGAGAGCGGAAGGTTAAGGAAAAAGAGAGGGAGAGAAACATCAGTGTGTGGTTGCCCCTCACACGCCCCTAACTGAGGGCCTGTCCCAAAATGCAGGCATGTGCCCCAACTGGGAATTGAACCGGCAGCTCCGGTTCACAGGTCTGTGCTCAATCCACGGAGCTACACCAGCCAGGGCCCTCATTTTAATTTTTGTAATTCGATTATTTATTTATGTATATTCAGATACTTGGTTTTTGTATTACAGGGGAATTTTATAATTTTTTTGTATTATAAAAGCATGAGTAAAAGAATTAAAAGCACTTATATAAATACAGAATTAGTACCACCCACATATAATGTGCACCTTTATTTTTCCCTCAGAAATTTGGGCAAAAAAGTGCGTGTTATACACTGCAAAATAAGGTACGTTTGCCTGACTTTAAAGGTAAAGTAATGACTTTGATCAAGTCATTGCTCCACAGAACAAAGGTGTGAACACAGGGGTGCGTTCATTTGGGCGGCAGATGCCTGCGTAGTCGTTGCCTGTCGCGTCTGGTAGCGGCGGTCTGCCGGGTGGCCTCTTCTGTCTCATCGTAGCAGCCCCCTGACCTGGGGTGACTGACTTCCAGGACCACCGAGAAGGTGCTTCCTTCCCAGCCTGCCTTCCGGTTAGCAGGGTTTGGAGTAGGGCGTGGCTTCGGGTTTTAGGGACAGAAAATGAATTGGTTTAAAGAGCAAAAAGGGGAATGGGAGGGCCGAGGGCAGTCATGCTAGTTGATTTCTGCCATCCGGGTAAATTCAGTTTTCTGTTCTTTAGGCTTCTCATCTCTAAGATGAGTAGGTTGTCCTGTGCTCCTTTTGGTAGTTATAAGACATTTTTAAACACCAGGTAGTTTGTAGTTACATCTTATGTCTTGTTCGGGTAGGGTGGTGTTTGTACAAAGCTTCCTGGGGAGTCTCAAGCGTCATCTTCCAGGGAGCTGAGGAAATAGCTTAGTCAAGGTCAGAACCAAACACCCTCAGACCCTACAAGTTGTCCACAGCAACTTTGCAGGAACAGCCCACAAAATAAAAGGTTGGAAGCTTCCCTGGCTGGTGTGGTTCAGTGGATTGAGTGCTGGCCTGGGAACCAAAGGGTCACCAGTTTGATTCCCAGTCAGGGCACATGCCTGGGTTACGGACCGGGTCAGATCCCCAGTAGGGGATGCATGAGAGGCAACCACACTGATGTTTCACTCTCTTCCTCCCTTCCCCTCTGTTATGTGTGGGGCGAGGGGAGGGACTGAAAGGAAGCATCTTGAATTTAGGCAGGACCAAGTGTGAGCTTTTGAAAGCTGGTATACACGTCTTGGGCTTTTCAGAGTGCTTTAAGGAAGCACTCCACTAAACACTCACGCCCAAAGCCCCACTGTGTGGAGAGCAGATCACGTGGTCTGCACACGTCTGCTTCTCCCAGGCTGATGGTGCCTGTGGTGCCTGAGAAGGTGCTCTCCCCAGAAGATGCAAAGGGGATGGGAAGAAGGGATTGGGCCCTTCCCCCTGTTGATCTAAATAAATGCTGTCATGTCTGAATCTTCAAGCCCTGAGCTTCATGCTTTGCAAGCGTTTGCTTTGAAAAACTGCTGCTGTGGAGGAACGGTTCTCACCACTGAGCCGAGCTGCGGCAGAGGCCGTCCTGGTCCTCACGGGGAAGGGCAGTCGTCCCCGAGGGGGAGGGTGTGCAGGTGGCTGTTGGGGGTGGGGGGTGGAAATATCGGGCCTTTGATTTATATTTTCTCTGTGTTATAAAATATACTCAAATCTTAGTTCATTAGTACAGGTAGATGACTTATTTATAAATAAATGTTAGGTCGAGCCAAAGGCAATTGCTGATAGTCAACCATGTTGATCTTCAAAAATGGTACTTGTCACAGATTGACAACATTGGGGGGGGGGGTCCAACCTTTTGGCGTCTCTGGGCCACACCAGAAGAAAAGTTGTCTTGGGCTACACAGTAAATGCATTGTGACATGTAGTCACACAAAAAAAAAAACCCATAATGTTTTAAGAAAATATACTATTTTGTGTTGGGCCACATTCACGGCCATCCTGGGCTGCGCGTGGCCGGACACCCCCGTGCGGTGGGAGCGCGTGCACTCTGGGTTTGTACTGTGTGCACAAGAGTGAACTCCGGAGACTCTGCCCCGTACAACCCTCCCCTCACCCCCACCCCACACTCGTGACTTCATTCTGTACTACAAGGGGACTTCAGAATATTTAATCTGAATAAGTAATACATGCAAATGGCATATTCACATGATACTCAAGTGTGGCCAATGAAAAGCCAGTCTACCTGTCCCTCTGCCACGCACGTTGCTTCCCAGAGACTTTCCTGCGCACCCTAACAGGCACTGCGCATGCGCATACGTGAGCAATACGTGCGCGTCGCTTACAAAGTGTTAGCGCACACACACTGTTGTGTCTTTGCTTTTTCCTGTAGGCTGCGTAGCTGAGAAAGGGTTCTGTCTGCCGCTGCCTCATTCGTGTTGGCTCTTTACCATTGCACTCTGCACGGCGCACCAGAATCTACTTCACCAGCCTCTGTTGGTGGCGTTAATGTTGTTTCCCATGTTTTTTGCAAGTAAAATGCCTGTGGGGTATATTCTTAGCAGCGAGATTGCTGAGCCAAAGGGTAAGTCAGCACACATACTTTTCATTGTGACTTTACCTTCCACGTCGCTTAAATGGAGTGAATACTTGTATTTTTTTTCCTCCTTGTATTTTTCTTTCTTATTCCTCTAGTCCCTGAGAATTTGACTTGGGGAATTTGTTACCCAGAACAGTTGGAACACTCTGGAACTTTAAACTTTGTAGGAGGCACGACTGCGACCTCCGGTGTTGCTTTCAGGGCGTAGCTGCAGGTGCCATTAAGAATTTCCTGCTTGTCCCGGCTGGTGTGGCTCAGTGGATTGAGTGCTGGCCTGTGAATCAAAGAGTCACCAGTTTGATTCCTGGTCAGGGCACATGCCTGGGTGCCTGGCCTGGGGCATGCCAGAGGCAACTAGTCGATGTAGCTCTCACACACTGATGTTTCTTTATCCCTTCCCCTCTCTCTACATAAATTAAAAAAACTCTTTTAAACAAAGTGAAAAAAAGTCCTTGCTGAAGATCCTGTCTGGAGGCCCTTTGCTCGGGTGTTGAGCAGGTGAGGCCGGCGGCCTGCTCCACGGGCGGTCATACCAGGAGGCGCCAGCAGGTGGCAGGCGGAGCACCACCGCAGAGCATCACCGGTGGCCCTGGCCTCCCTCTGCGAGGCTCGTCGGAGTCAGAGCCTTCCGACGCTTTCCCAGCGACCTGCCCTCCCAGCAAGGTACCCACTCAGCAGGGGGGGGGGGTTGCCTGACCCCTTTCTCCCACTAGTTTTGTAGTCATCTCCTTAAATGAGTGAGCAGTTTAAAATCGCAGCAGCTGCCTTGAGATGGGCTTCAAGAGGCCACACCCCAGGGTGACAGTCTGGTGCCTACTCCCCCTCCGGGAACTCGCCAGACGGATTTACATACCATGGCCTGGGATGGCTTGGGTGTTCTTAATTGTAGGGCCTACTTCCTGTCTCTTTCAGCCAAATCTCTCACACCCTTCCCATGAATTTAGAGGTCCTCAGAAGAGGCTTACTCACCACCCTCTGCTCCACCCACTCTGCTGTGTTCTGGGGGGGAAAGGGCCCGGAATTTGAGCAGCCCCGGGGCAAAAGTGCTAATCCCTGGCCTGCCTTCTTTGGGGGCATCAGCCCCCCTGTGGACCAGCTTGGCCCAGGGCTCGGGCTGCGGGCAACCCCCAGCCCCACCATTGAGTCCCAGTTTCTCCTGCTGACTCTGTCTTAGACAGAGATGGCCCAGCAGCTCCTTCAGGCAGGGGTCCTTGCCTTCTGTGACCAGCTCTGGCTTTGCCGGAAGCCCTGGGAGAGCTGGGAGGACAGCAACTTGGCTGCTGGGAAGAGGGAGGAGGCGGCAGCTGCACTGGTGAGTGGTGGCCTCCCCCAGCCACTCCCCCTCCCACCCTGTGGGACACTAGCCATGTCTGGGGTGTTAGCAGCATTGGGGGCCCTGGGCGAAGCCCCAGTGCTTTCCCACTCCTAGTTTAGGTCCCCAGATCTCTAGGGACAGCTGGGGTTTTTTTCAGGCTGTGAAGTGATATGGAGAGAGAGTGGGTGGGGATATTCAGGGCAGGGAATTTTCATCCAGTCGAAGGCCCGTTCACTTTCTGCCGGGTCTCTGGTCCTCCTGCACCCCGAGTGGGGTTAACCTGTGTGAGACAGAACTTGCAAGGAGGCTCAGGCTCAGCGCCCCG